AATACAGTGAGGTTGATTATGCTTTAATCTCCTGTGGTGTCTCTGTTGTGGGCTTGCTATGTTTTCCACATTTTGTGTGATATTCAACTTGTTTCAGTCTCAACTTAAATGTCAGTTTTTAGACATTAAAAATCCATCCAGTTCACCTCTGTACCATTTCCTAGTGATTCCTTTCTTGGCTGCAGCTAAAGGTATTTTAACCAAATATCTATCCTCACATTAAAACATTTCATTTGACAAGTTAAGAAATTAATATTTTATTACTGAAGCATAAACTCACTCTGAAAATAGACAAACCAAGCGATCAGTCTAAGTAAATTTATTCTAAAGAGAGATAGGAAACAACAATAACCGCCAATACTGTTGTTAATAGGATTTGCACTCAATAGGATAACACTTCATTTTCATCTGTTACATTTCCTGCAGTGGGAGGATACAAAAAGTGACATTTTGAACCATCCATCTTTGCTATCCCTGGAGTGTCCAGATTACTGGTTCCTCTCTTAACTTCCCTTATATTTTTCTCACCGCCAGGTTTTCTTAAAGGTTTTTTCTAGAAGACAAATAGGCCCAAAGCATCACTAGTCACAGCATTGTACATGGGGAACTTTTTCCCATATGAATCCTTTGTTTCACACTAGAAAAAGCGGGACTCTGTTGAAGAAAAAGGTAAATGTTGTCCTCGTCTGCACAGATTTCCACTTAAAGACCTTCAGCAGAGTTTAGAAAAAACCCTCATGTTTACATTTGTGATGGTAGGAGAGGGAAAATGTCATCTAGCATCAGTCTAAAACAGTCAGTAAGTAGGATTTATCTGTTGCTATGGAGACTTCTACTTCCTTTACTATTGTCTTTATTTTGCGGCATGCTCTATAAACTGAAGTGCCTCTGAATTATTTGTCACCTGACTATAGGTTAAATTAAAGTTTTGTTTTTTCAAAATATATTACATGAAAAAAAATAAAACAAATTATCTTCTAATGAAGGGAAACAGCTTTATCTAAATATGATTAAGTGTGTTGTAAAGTTGGCAGTTGATAAAGAGTTGGAGCTCCTCACATTAATTCAAACCCTATTTAAAGGTGATGGTCATATATTTATTTGTCATTGCCTTTAACTGTGACCAGCCCACACTTTATTTCACAGCTTTGCATTGGGTGCATATAAACAAAGCATGCTGGAAACACTGAGTGATAGACGGTACTTGTGCATCACTGTCTCTGCCAGAGACGTTTATGTCATATAAAATGCTCTCCAAAAGCAGGCAGTTATATTTATAGTGCCAATTTAACCTGAGATGTCCCCAAAGAGTGTTTGTCCTTTTTCTCTGCTCAATGAGACCTGAGCTGTAAAAGTTTGATTCATTGCACCGAGGGTCTGCTGTGGCAGCATGTTACTGGCTCTGGTGAACCCTCCAAGGACCTGGCTCATGAAAAACACACATCTAGAGAGAGCAGATTGACTTAGCCAATAATCTCCTTTACTCTGTAATTTTCTAGTTCAAATGAAGTTTTTCTTTCTGTGATTTTTATGGCATGTGGCTTGATTTTTAATACAGTTGGCTGACAGGAAAGTGGGTACAAAGGATGGGCAGAGACATGCAGCAAAGGTCGGATTTGAACCCAGGTCGGCCATGTCGAGGACTAAGGCCTGCGAAAATGGGTCATGCACGCTAACCACTTTGCCATCAAAGGAAGGATTGAAAAATGGCAAAGTTCTGTGAAAGATGTAAATCTTTTGACTATGAAAGAGGAAATGTTTGTCTGAAAAGCAGGAAGCCTCTGCTTGTCGACCACAAGATTCTCCAATAAAGGAGTAAACTTGCCAGGAGGGAGCAGCTCATTCAGCTGTAAATTATTCTGCAGCGAGATCAATGAAGAGATTAATTTAGTTTGGTTCTCCGGGCCGCACTTCCTAAAGCAGCAACTCTTATTATGAGTCGGATTTCCATATGAGACGACCGTCAGCATGTGCGTTGGTATTTATGTGGAGTCGGTGGCTGTGAATCTTTTTAATGGTTTTAGCTTTGTATTTGAATATTTGCAGGACATGGATTTTTTTATTTTGTGTACTATTGATTTAACTGGTTCGGAGTCATTTTAAAGTCTGTAATCCTGCTGATAACAGGGAGTTTGCTTGAGGCATTCCTCCATAGCAGCTGTTTGCTATGTCCTGTTAGGCGGGACTTTGTACATTATACTACAGCTGTTGTGTGAAGAAGCATCAAAAGGCTAATCTCTTTTGCAGGTAACAGCTGACTGGTGTGGTTGATTTATATTTTATTAATTAAGTAGAGCTCATCCACTTCCCCCTCCATGGAGGAGCTGCCCCCCTGAGTGGGAGAATATGACCTCATTACCACCTAGATCTGTTCGGCTGCTTGTTAGAATTAGCAAGCTGTCGTCCTCTATTGTTTTTGCCGTCATGCGCCCAGAGAGACATCTTGAAGGTTAAGGCATCACATGGTGCAGTCAGGAGCCACCGGCTGTTTGTTTCTTTGAGGAGAAGCTTATGTATATTAAGCCTTTATTGTTTCCAAACCTTTGATGCTTTTGGTTCAAGTGTTGAATTTGTTGTGTAATACATTTCAGACATTATATATCTCCATCTCTCTTACAAAGGTTTTACTAATTTGGGTTTAAATGTGACCTAAAATTAAGGGAAAAAATTACCTTTATGGTTATTTTCATGTCATCACTTTTTCCTGTATTAGTGTTTTTCCACTTTCTGTCATCAACAATTGCTTGATTTTAAATACTTCTTTTTTGTCCTTGGATATTTAACCTGACCAGATTTATTCTATAGTTTGGTAATTTTCTCAAATCTAATTTACAAGCAGTAAAAAGTAGAGTTTTTTTCCTTGTGTTAATCATCCGGTGTCCATCAGGGCTATACGCTTAAACCACTTCTTTTTTTAATATAATTTGTTGTACTTTCTGTACTAAATTCTCCAAAAAGTCAGCTGTCTCCTCTTGGAAATAGCTTCAGAAAACTTTGAATTAACTTTACTTATCTCATCGGTTTCTTTTACTTCAAAACAAAAAGCCGTCAAGGCTGATTTAAGGCTGTTATTCATAATATATAACTTTATAGGCTATAAATTATCTTGTGTTTTATTTGTTACCATCTTCTGGTCAAGACTCCCTCAAAAACAGATTTTTAAAATCTCAGTGGGACTACCGGTATATCCCATTTCCCTTTTATCCCAAATTTCCTTTTGAATAAAGGTTACATTTAAATAAATGAATAAAGAAAGAGAAGTAGAATTTGAGTCATCACTGAAGAAACATTATGTAATCAGAGCTGCTAGGATGCAATATGTGATTGGCTAACATATTTAACTAATATTTTATTTAGCCAGCTTGATGCCCACGATTGATATATAAATTTTAGTGATGATTCAAAGAAACTCTTACAAGCTTCTTTATTGGGTTGGTATGAACATGTTTCATTGACTTAAAATACAATAAGATATAGATGTAAATATATTGTGATTTCTATAATCCACATAGGGTTATAATTATACATACAGACACCAATGTAAAAACACTGATGCTTGGTTAAAAAACCCTCAGAGAACCAAAACAGGGTTGGATATTAGATTATATTATCAGAATTGGTTGGGCCTCATTTACATTGGTTGCTTTCTTGGCATTGACTCAGCTGCTAAGCATAGTTCGTACATTATTAAAATGGGGGAGGTTGGGGCCACTCCAGAAACTAAATCTTACTCTGCTCGAGCCATTTCAGAACCTAATTTAATGAGTCAAAACTGAAGAAACTGAACTCACCATAGATTGGTCAATGGTGAAGCACCAGGATCTCACAGTTGAGACACTTTAACATCTATATGAACTTTGTGGGAGCACCAAACAAGAAATATGTTTAGTGCTTTGAAAACAGCACTCAACCACTATGGAAATCTGCAACTGCCCAGATGCACCAATCAGATGACTTTGTGCTCAGATGGGATAAAGATGGAGCATACTGTAGAATTAAAGTTAAAACTACCAACTGTATAAAATTTTTAGCTCAAGTAATGGCAAAGGTTTAACCCAACTTTATGAGCGAGCATGAGAAAAATCCCCCCCGAAAACATTAAAACCAGCCTTGAAACAACAAACATAGACTTATAATAAGTCTCTAAAAAGGCCGTGACCTGAAGTCATATTTAAAATCATGGTCTGTACAGGAAACCAATCAGTTTTTTATAAATGATGCCAGTTTTATAAGTAGAAACCAAATGTCAACCCAGAAATATGGTGCGTCTTTGCTAATGGTTGCGAAGGCATATGCTCTCTGTTTATTTGATTCATTTGGATCAAAATCTACAGTAGATTTAAAAGAAATTGCAAACAAACAAAGTTGTTTGTTGTACAATCATTTTTATCTACAAATAAAGCATTTCAGTACATATTTAAAAGCTCAAAATAGGCAGTGATGAGTCTATGTGAACTTTTGGTCTGAATCTGACATCAGGCTTCGGTAATACTGATAAAAACTGATCATTTGAATAAAGTGCAGCAATTTATTGGAAGGGAACCCCACAATCAGTTTTACTTTTAGTGGAAGAAGTCTGACAACATTTGGCTTAGAGAACTCATCTTACCTCGGGGAGATATAAAAGGATCATGTTTCTGTTAGTGGTCACATGCCTGCTATCAAGGCAGTGACCCTGCTCCTTCTACTGTCTCCTCCTGAGGGATAAAGGTTGGATCCCACCTGTCCCAGCATGAACTGTCCATCACTCAGGATTGAAGAGCATCGTCAGGAGAAAGCTAATGAGGTGGAAATACGTAGAGCAAAGGGCGACTGTAGTGGGGCAGTATTTTCTGTTTTAGATTCCTACTAGTTGTGTTAAAAGAAGCGTTACATATGTTCTCCTTGATTTTCCGATCACAGGGGCATATTCTCTTTTTCATTACAGCCTGTTTGTGTGTTACGCCAAAGGAGAGAGTGGATTACTTCAGACTTGACTGTGGATTTTTCTTCCTCTCCAGGAGGCAGATAGCTGGGAAATAATCGAGGGACTGAAAATCGGTCAGAGCAACGTTCAGAGGCCTGATAAACACGAGGGTTTTATGTTGAAGAAGAGGAAATGGCCCCTGAAAGGATGGCATAAGGTAGGATCCACTGCAAAAACCCAAACACAAAAGCTTTTTTTCTTCTTTTTTTTCTGCTGAAGATGCACTCTGAGACCCATCCATTACCAAAATGTGTGCGTATTATTAAAAGGCTGCTGCTTTGAGGTCATTCTCATTTTACTCTAAGTTACAATTTCTATGTCTTTGTTGTTGTTTAACCAAAGCTACTTTGTTGTCTGTATGCTTTTCTTCTGCAGCGTTTTTTTGTTCTGGACAATGGCATCCTGAAGTACTCCAAGACTCCGATTGATGTAAGTAAGCCCGACTATCAGCCCTGCAGGCAAAGACAGAGTCGCCCATTCTGACCTCTGCCAGGACAGACAGTAGTGAGTCAGCTAAAACATCTGCAGCTTGTTGCTTCAGCACAAAAGGGAAAATTCAGGGAGAAGACATAATGCATTACAGTTTAAGCTTATGAATGAACTTAAAACTTTGAAACTGAAGCTTTGATGGCTGTTGGACTTTTTTAGATCTTTGTAATCGATTTCTTAAAATTTTGAGATTTTGGTCAAATAACTAAAAATTGGACATATCTAAGCTTTCTAAGAGGACAGGGACTTCAAAATGGTTGGAAAGCAGGCTGAAAATAAGCCTTAAGAAAGCATTGAGCTCAAAAATACAGATATTTTATGAATTATGATAAAGTCAGTCATCTTAAGTGGAGAAAATCCACCATAAAGTTAAAACTAAACATTTCTGTCATATAGAAAATAATTAATGCACAGTTAAATCATGAAAATCTTGGTAATTGTCTGCAGTACTGAATGTATTCCCAAATGTGCACAGATTCAAAGGGGGAAGCTTCACGGCAGCATTGATGTCGGCCTCTCTGTCATGTCTATCAAGAAGAGGGCGCGTCGCATCGACCTGGACACTGAGGAGCACATCTATCACCTGAAGGTAACGCCTCTGACGTCTCACTGCATTAAAGCAACAAACAGGAGCCGGTTAAGTGACTGAGGTCATATCTGATTTTTTATTCTCCCCTTACAGGTTAAATCTCAAGACATCTTTGACGCCTGGGTGTCAAAGCTGCGCCATCACCGGCTGTATCGACAGAACGAGATAGTACGCTCTCCCCGGGAGCCCACGATGCGAACGTTTCCTCCCTCAGCTGCCATAGAGCCACCCCAACCGCCGCCGAACGTAGTGAACGAAACAAAGGTAGATTTTTTTTTTAACTATTATTCATATAGAGTTCTTATAGACTGGCTTTCTCTAAGCTTCAGTTCTTCTTTAAGCTTCATTAATGAGTAAAAAATTAACTGCATTTATTTGCGATACCAGAGTTGTCCTAATAATATATTTTAAAACATGTTTGGAAAACACAACATTTTCTAAAAAAAAAAAATCTGTTACAAAAAGCCTCACTTCTTGTGTCCTTTGGCATCAGTAGCATTGGACCAACCTTTATGAAATGAGAAAGATAATTTCTTCAAAATGTTTTTTTTTTACAGCTGCAGCTCTCAAAGTGAATTTAATTATTGCATGTCCCTCCAACAGTTTATTTGCATAAACAACTTTGATGTTTTTTATTTTTTTTTAGAATAAATAAAAAAAAAAAGATAAATGACAAGTTTATAATTATATATTATTTAATATTTGCAAATTCTATTCATTTTACCTTGCCCATGCATTTCTTTTGATGTAACATTTTAAACACATGGTCTAGAATTATGGAAACCATGGACCTCCACAAGCCTGGTTTATCCTTGGCTAGCATTTCTAGAGGCATAAAGGTGCCACATTCATCTGATAAAAACGTGACATGTTTAAGTTATGGCACTGTCACACCTTTACAGTTTAGCCAGCGTATTCTGACGTACGAAACATCTGGCAAAAATGCTGACGTTTGTTGGATAAGTTAAGAGCACGCTGAAGCACACTGGCACATGCCGACATACGGCAAGTATGCCCACATATGCCAGCATATGCTCATACTTGGGCTATACGTTACAGGAAAGTTATGTAAGCCTTGACATACCTTAATTATAAGTTACTCACAAACCTTGATGTCTAGCTTATCCAAAACCTATGTGTAACTTGTGCATAACTAATGCGTAACTTATCAAGAAATTATGTCCGACGCATATCGACGTATGCAGGTATATTCGACGTGTTCCACACGACCGCTCAACGTGTTTCTAACTGTTTAATGGCATATTGGCAGCGTTTTGGTATAAAAGGCGGTTCCCAGGAGGAAACTGTCAGTATTCTTTCAGACTTTATTCTCATCATAGGGTTTGCGTGAAGGTGAGTATGATGGATCCTTCCTGCGTTCACACCAATGGTCACGACCAACAAACTTCCTAGCAGACATGATGCTGAATCTGCTGCGACTGCAGACCATCTTTCTTTTTTTTTATTTGGTGGGTGATAAACAGCAGCGAGGTTAATACCGCTATCAAAGAAATCTTGTTATGCAGGCCGGGCGCCCCCGGGGTGCATTTCCGCCCCCATTCAGGACACTGACTTGTGACATTTCATGGGCATTATGCTGCCGTGTGTTATGCATAAGTTAGGCTATCGTTGGACATAATTCTGGACATGGTTCTGGACTCATTATAAACACGTTATGTATACGCCCTAAATTGAAGAAATACATAGAAAGTTCAACGTATGCCGGCGTTTTATAAGATTCTGGGATGCTGGCATACATGGGCGAAAGCATGAAGGTGTGACGGCGCCATATGTACGGAAATTTCCAGTCATTATTCTGTTTAGAAAGGAGGCGGGTTCTGTATCTTTACTTTGAATGATTTCCGTATCGACCCCACAAAAAAAAAAAAAAAAGACCCCGCAAAGATGCTGGCTGAAGCAGCTAAGATAGTGTTATTGTCCACAGAGGGTCTAGTTCTGTACAAACAAGATGAAATAATGAACATTTAAATCTTAGTGTTATTTGCACATCATTAATATCACTATTGGGAAAGAACACTTGGTGGAAGTAACGAAGAACACCATATAAACCAATAAGTTGTAGCTTGTGTACAGATTGGCCATTGAAATGGAAAAGGATCCTAAAAAATGTTACCTAGTTAGTCTTAAAGAATATTAGGGACAATAACCTCAATGTTTTGGAGTGACCCTTAGAAAGCCTGGATGTAAATCTCATGTTTAAATATAATAAAATTATGTAATAAATGTGAATCATAGACAAACATCTGTCTGACACAGTGAAGCTGGACAAGAAATTGTATCCAAACCTTGAAGATAAGAGGAAGGATTTCTCCTGGGAGCGATGCTCTGAGTCACATGGAGGCCATTAGAGGTGATCAGTAGGATTTGGATTCAGAGCAGCTGGTTGCAGCTTGATGAGCTCTCCCAGATGATCAGCCCAAATGGAAGAACCCACTGCTGGAGTCAGAATTATCTGCTGCATCAACCACTTAGAAGAAGCACAAGCAGCTCTTTTCAACAGCATGGAGTAATTCCCAGCAGCTTTTATGTGCTACTTGAAGATAACAAAGTGTAGAGTTGGTGTTAGGTTTCCTTATGAAGGCGTCTGGATGTTTCAGTGTTAAACTGACCTGATATTGAGATTTTCGTTATGTGTATGTTATTTTATTGTAAATTTCTCTTTGGTTTTTAATATCTCAATCTTTATTTTGTCAGAACTTGATATGTCTTTTTCAGTGAGTATTTATCTAATTCTCGTAGCCTTCTGCTTTAGGTCAGCCTTATACTTTTGGAGTAGGAGCTTGTGTACAGTATCCACGACAATGTTAAACTGGTATCACTCTGGATGGTGATGTTGGGGTTTCAACATCTTCCAGTTTATCCTAGGATCATGGCTTGAAAGAAATATAGCAGTTTTTTCCCCCACCAAAACCAATTATTCATTTTCCCCTTTGTCATGGTACAAAAAACACAGATGACATTCTTCCTTCCTTCCTTCCTTCCTTCCTTCCTTCCTTCCTTCCTTCCTTCCTTCCTTCCTTCCTTCCTTCCTTCCTTCCTTCCTTCCTTCCTTCCTTCCTTCCTTCCTTCCTTCCTTCCTTCCTTCCTTCCTTGTTATCTGTTTTGTATAGGATATAAATAATCTATAAAAATAGTCTATAAAGCGGGAATTGTGGCAAGCAGAAGGCAAAGGAAGCCTACGTTTCCCCTCCTCCTATTGTTACGGTTTGATCTGATGATCTTGAGAGACTTTTAACCAATTAATAGAGTGGTAGTTTTTAGGATATACATTTGTTTCTTGTATTTTTTGATCTATTGAGCAGAATAAATCCTTGATAAATTAGAAGTTGTTCATCCAGTTCTTGGTTTTATCCACATTGTCCACATAAATCATAGCCACTTGCCCCTTAAAAAAATATCTACCGTAGCTTAATACTTTTCACAAGAATACTTAAATGTGGATCAGTATTTTCAACATAAGTGCCTTGTTTCTGATAAAAATAAATCCATTCTGCTTTCCGACTTAAAACTTGAATACTTCATCTACTGTGACACCAGTAGTGATCATGATTAGCTTGTGGGCCCCTTCTAACATTTATGTTTCCCAGTGCAATAGAGTCTGACATGATGCCTCAGACAAATCAGCCCGTCTGACCCCTGTCTGTTATCACCTCCCCACAGCAAGCCAAGTCCAGCAGCTTGCCATGGCAGCCGGCAGCTCCCAGCAGCAGCAGCAACAGCAGCCTGCAGGCGTCCTACAGCAATGGTCAGAGCCGGGTGGTAGCTTGGCTTCACGAATCTGAGGAGATGGACAAGTGTGCAGAGGGTGAGTGAGAGAAGAGAGAACAAATGTGTTGTTTTTTTTACAAAAGGCGGTAGATTAATGCTGCCTTTAAATTCCTCAGAAGTGGATGTGGATGTGACTGTGTCGTGACATTAAATTAGTTTGTGAGCTGGTGGGTGTAAATTTTATTTTCAGAGCTTGCACGCTGCCAGTCCAACCTGACTGAGTTAAGCCGGTTATTGCAGAGCCTTGAGATCCTGCAGAGAACACAGTCAGCTCCTAACTTCATAGACATGCAGGTAAAAAACACAAACACACAACTGACTGCAAATATGCTAATGCACAAATACACTTATAGTGATGTCAATACAGAAAATACAGTCGGTGCTAGATTATTAATTTATTTGATTATTTTCAAATGGAAGATATGATGCCAGTGAGAATATTCTCATTGGAAGGGAAGATTGTGTTAATCTGGGGCTTTTAAAGATGCATTTAATCTACTTATTTATTTATTTAAACAGTTATCTGTATTTGTTTTTTAAAAAGGAGAATGAGGTTCACATGTTTGATGTGCACCTAAGGGTCAAAATTATAAATATAGATTCAATTAACTTTTGTTACAACTTTCTGAAGCACCTTGTGTTTAAACCTTATTAATCCATGATGGTTCTTTATTAATAAACCCTCTACAGGCTTTTTGATATAATTCTGTCATCAAAGTTAATAAATCTGGCACAATTATTTTATCCCAGAGACTCTTTCCCAAATATTTTATGCAAGCCTTTTTTTTAACCTTCCCAGTTGTAGTTTTGCTGGATGTGTACGATAATTGAACACACATTTGATTCCCAAGTTTAGCTATTTGACCCATGCTTTCCCTTTTAGATGTATTATTTAATTCACATTGCATTACAATAATCAGGACCGAAATCCAGATCCAGAAAACACCAAAACCAGGCCTGTGATAAACTGGAATACATGTAGACCAGTAAAGCAATGTCAACATGAACTGGGATGATAGACCAGGATGAAAGCCCTGCGACGGTGCTGCGTTTTTCACTTCTGTCCTGCTCTCCCACTGATAGAAACAATGTCTGCATTCCACCAGGTCAAAAAAAATATATATTCACACGCGCTTTTCCTTAAATCAAAGAACTTGAGTTGCGGTCATTGTTGTGTGATTTTGTTGTGCGGTGGTACATAAACCATGCCCAGAAGTAGTTTAAAATAGAAGCAAGTATGTTTATTTTGCTCGTGGGGGTTTTGAGATAAATGTGACGCCATAGTAAAGCAACATTGTATCAAACCAGTATGGGGCACTAATAAAGCCCTGAAAATTCATTAAAAGATGTCCGGCTGATCATTTGATATGATAGAAAATGAAACAAGGAGGCGTCTTCATGAGAAATTAACATAACGGTCCTGATGTAGCAGAAGAGTCGGAATTCATGCTTTTTTTAGTGCTTCAAAAAGCCACACATTCAATAAAGATGTAAAACAACTGGGGATTCAGGAACGTTTTCTTTGTATCAAAGCTTTGAGTCAAATGTCAGGTTTTTAAAATGCCAGGTTTCTTCCTGTTAAAAGGGAGTTTTCCTCTCCAGTGTCGCTACAAGCATGCTTGGTGTAAGGGATTGCCTTTGAGTAAATGAATAGATGCCATCAGCTGGTTTTCCTTAGATAGAAAACTTTGAATCAATTTTGACCGTATGATCTGGTTGAATTGTCTGATTAAAGTAGCTTGCGATGACATGTTGTGAATTGGCACTATATAAATAAACTGAATTGAATACTAAGATAGGTAACTATGAGAGAGAAGCTATAGAAGAGTCTGTTTTAATGTCAGTGCTAGTTTGTGGCTTAAAGTGGATAGAATTAGGGCTAAACCATTAATAAAATTAATCATGATTAATTTACTATTGAATTGGACTCTAAAACATGCCATTAGCTATAAAAGCAACCCACACAGAGCAGTAATTACACCAATTTGTAAAAAATATGAAAAAGATTCTTGTTAATCATTTGCTCTACCCAGAACTCCTCAAGTGGCTTCGTTTTAGTTTCGCCTGGGTTTCTTCTCTAATAAACGTTTCACCATCTGATTGTCAATCAGTTAATTGAAAAAATAATCAACATATTAATCTATTTGCAAATTAATAGCTGGTTAAAGCCCTGGATGGTACAGTTCTTCACAAATCCCAAACCTACATCAAAACTGGCTGGACTGGGCAAACAGGATAATGTCATACTTGACAAGATTTGGACATATAATAAATTCAACATTACTGTAAATAGAAATTGCCCAAACAAGCTTTGCGTAAAAAAAGAAAAGAAAATGAATATATGCCTTTGAATGTACTTGTCATGTGTATATTTTAGAGACAAGCAGAGAAGATACTTTAGACGAAGATGGAAGAGATTTGCCCTTTTTTATTAGCTGGAATGAGATGCTGTCTGTTATCTGCAGGCATTTCATCCCCATCTGCATAGCATGTGTGTTGCTGTAGTTCTGCACCATGGCTGCTGACCTTTACGCTGCAGCACTGCATACACAGCATAGCAATGCCTTAGGTAAAGAGCATCTGTGATCAATTAACCTTCTAAAGAACTGAATGTAGGAGGGTTAATCAGTTGAAAATCATCTTGTATAATTGTTGGTTATTGTTTATATGATCAATATGAAGGTCTGCTTTTATCTATCCATGTTTGTTCCTTACAAGCTACTTTGCTAAATCACCCATTCATACTTTAATCTGTTTGGAAACCAAACATGATTCTGCATCAATTATGCATTCCTTAATCTCTGACCTATCACCTTCTGTTTATTTGTGTATTATAGTGTTTGCCTCAGATTTATTATAATGCAACATACCATTGTCCCTTTATTAGCCTAATTTAACAAAAAAAGAAAAGAAAAAGGTGTTCTTTTATGCCATTTCACTCCAGTCGATGTGCAGCTAACTCTTGCTTCTTTTGTGTGACGTGTTTGTCCTGTTAACCTCCCTTTGCACGTCTCGATCCACATGTGCCTCAAAGACCAATTGCGTAGAACTGTCAAAGAAAGAAAAGCGCTTTAACAGAAGATGGAGAACAAAAAGTGTCGGCAAAGACCCAAAATTCCAACTGCAGGTAACACACATACACTCTAGCAGGGTGGGGCTGGTTCAATTCTCATTAGGTTTGAAACATCTCACCAGAAATCTAGAAGGGAAAGAAAAACAAAGCTCCAACAAACAATATAGTTGATTAGAACCGATTTCTTATATCTTGACCTCTAATGTCTTTGTAGTCCAGAGCTTCCTGGAGACTGTGGTAAATAAATTCCCAGCTATTAAAGGGATATAGACCTTTACTGTGAATATATCTGTTATCCAGTTATGATCATCATTTCTGTTTTTCCTACGATTATGCTCATTAAAAGTCAGCGTATTGGCCTAATTTTACTATAAATTTGACAACTTTCAGTGTAACCAGTGTTTGTGCAGGAAATGTGCTGGACAGACTGAGGGAGGGAGCCCTGGTGTCAGCAAAGGGGCCCATATGAACATAAAACATAGTAGCAGTAGCAGCCTGAATTTGAGCATATCTGGCCAACATGCTTAAATATGCTAAGAACCATAAAGGGTATATGGATGGCCAAAATATATTAGGAAACAAGTAAATCAAAAATGTCCCTTTAAATAAAAGTGCCATGAAATAAGTAGATTTAATATGTATTTACTTATCTAATACATTATTTAAATATTGAATATGCCATTAAATTATAAAATACACAATTAAAGAATTAAATATCTCATAAGATAATCAAAATTACATTTAAATGGTGAATTCAACAATAAATAAATAATATATAAAAATAAATTTAATTACTTTTATATTTTTAATTAGATATAAAGTGAAATAACTATGTATTTTTAATGGGTCACCAATCTGTAACTTTCTGACTTTAGGCTTTTTTACATAGGCTGAAATATTTGGAACCCCCTGATCTTGGTTTATTATTAATGTTTGTGAAATTATATCAAAGAATAATTGCTGTCCTTTCTGCAAAGGAAAGGTGTAGAATGTGTTAACAACAGCAGAAGACAAAGGGTAATATTGACATTGTGATTTCACTGAGGTTATCCTGCTGTACTAAGATGTGGTTTAATTTTAAAGCTTTTTGCACATCTTTAACAGCGGGGCATTAAATAGACATGAATCTGTAAAGATTCCTGTAATGAGTCAAATCTCTTAAAGTGTCGGTATCTGATTTCAATATGAGACCTTGATCAGATTAATACCTAAATCCAGCCCATTCAGTGATGTAGCTCAGAATTATGGGCCGAACCATCATTTTATTTTTTTTTTTAGATCTATTTGTTCATGTTCTCTGGTTAGTAAACTGTACAAATTAGATCACGGTTACCAGTATGTCATTGCTTGATTGCTTTTTGTTGATACCCCCTTTGTTTTTAATTTGCTTGATGTATTAATCTTTGCTTTCTGCTCTCACAACTAATGTCTTTTTAACTTTTTACATTAAACCTCAGCTTCACTGTTTAAATCAAGATTAAAAACTCCAAATTATACCTTTTGGACATTTCCAGGACAAACTATGGATAGATGATGAAACATACATTTATTTATTTTTTCAATTAGGAAAGATCATTGCATGGGGAAAAGGCAAGAGCAGAATTAATTAGATGGTTTTGGGGTCTTAAACTTTGATAGATTCTCTTATGATTTATGAAGTTTAAAAGTTTAAGATTCAAGTATTGGAGAATTTTGTAGCTTCATAGCTGGTTCTCATAGTCAGATGCAGGAAAGAGGCGTATTATAGTGATGGATTTTTTCTATTGTTTTGATCTCTCTCCAGGTCCCTCTATCTGCCAGCATGTCTCCTGTCCGCCTCCACTCTTCCAATCCAAACCTGTGTGCTGAACTGGGGGACTACCAGCCTCCGGTTTCTCGTTTGTCAGACAGTGTGGAGTATGCCAGTGACTACATTAAGCTTCAGGAGGAATTCTGCACTATTGCCCAGAAAGGCAAGCAGGCGGCTACTGAAGGACATATAATCCTTTGGAAAAGCTTTGTCATATTGGATAATTGCAACATCATCACTTGCTCTTTTCGTCTTTCTATTAATTTTGTCCAACCTCTGACGAATCAAGATAAGGCCATTTCGATCTCGTTTATGTTTCCAGCACATATAACTTTTGCATGAGCATTTTTCACCTTACAGTAGAGCCTTCCTACATATTTTCTGTGAGAAGGCCACAGTCAAACATCTTGTTTCTTGTTGTTCCTCCATAAAGACCACAAGGTCCAACAGGTTAGCGGTTCTGGGCCGTCTCCATGTCAGTTTAGGTAGACAGTTGTATTAGGTCTTTAAAGCTTAACTATTGTTTTTATAAGCTAAAACTAACAGAAGCTACTTTAAACAACGTCATCCCTGAGTGATTGGCTTTAATCTTTGGTCTTCATGATGTTGTTTGTTCAGTAATATTCTCTAACAAACCTCTGAGGCCTTCACCAAACAGCTTTGATTATTTTGAGACTAGATGATACACAGGTGGCCCCTGTTAACAGCCAGAGTGAAGGGAAGCTGCAAATGAGTCTCGTATCTTATTTGCAATAATCTCTAAAGCACTTTTATCGTTTTACTTTTACTTTCCCACATTCTACCTGTAAGTCCCTTTCAAATCACACTGATTGTTTTGGTTCTACAGTGAAAAAAGAGAAAAGTTCAAGAGGTATGTAAGGCTCAGTAAGTCCATAACCCCTGTCACCGTGGCTGTTATTGCAGTAGTGTAATGTAGAACACCTACCATCACCTTTAGGGTTAGGGTTAAATCTGTTACAGTTAACATGGCCAAACATGCATCCTGACTGATCATAGAGAGTAAAGAAAAGCAAGTGGAAATGTGACATTTATACAGCCTGCTTATTTAAAGATGGTATATCTTTTGACAAGTATAGTAACAAAGAAACCTAGGTGATGAACAGAAGGAACCTTAAAGCTTCTGACAGAAAACACCTCCAGCTGACCAGGTTACATTTGGGATCTTAGCCTTGTGGGTTAACAAATCTTCTGGAGCTTTAAAAAAAAAAAAAAAAAAGAGTATAGCATCAGGATAACTTATGAGCAGCTTTACTTCATACTATACAACACTCATTAACTCTTCCTCACGTGCATGTATAACATTTTGCATGTGAAAATGGGTCCCCATGAGGCCCCAATGCATCACACACGAGTGTTTGTTCCTTCTCTGCACACAGCCTCCTTCCTCCTCGCATGTGGATCCTTTTCTGCTCACTCCTGTCAACTTTGTTCACTTTGAAGGTGTTACCCACCGGACAAAGCAACCAGCCTGTGATTGGCTACTTTTCAGGAAGTCCCGCATCTTGAATTGTGACGCGTTGCCAAGGGAACCAGCAGGAACTGCCTTCCTGTTTCCAGCTAACCATTGAGCTAGCAAAAACTATTGGACTATTTTACCTGAACTTTTTTGTAGATGTCCTACAACTCTTTTTAACGGACCCCCTACAGCCATTCAGAATCCAGTATTCATCCAGACAATGTTATATCTAATGATGACTTTGCTTACAAGCTTCCAACTATTGAAGACAAGCATTTAGCCTGAAGTTGCTTTGCCAGTTGAAAAGGAATAAAGCCTCGAAAGGTGGGATTTCATACAAAGTAGCCAATTCCAGGTGTGTTGCTTTGTCTGGTGGGTAACACCTTCAACGTCACAAAAGTTGACAGGAGCAAGCAGAAACGGGTCGTGAGGAGGGAGGATGGCTGCACACGCAGAGAACGAATAAGCACTCATGTGCGGAATATACTGGGGTCCCGTGATACTCTATTTGCACATGTAACATGTTAAACATGCGCATAAGGGAGAGTTAATGAGCGTTTGTTTCAAGGACAGCTGCTCATAGGAGAATTTATTGTGAATGTGGACTTTTGACAGAATCCTGACACAATAAATGCAGTCATCTCTGTGTTATTATAACAATAGGAGCTCATAACATTGTGACATCACAAAGAGACAAAGAAAAGTAAGACAAAAGAGCAGTTTTCAATGTGTTATTTTGGAGCAGTGACTGCGCATTGAAAGTCAATTGAAATATGACGTGGATGATAGATGCTCTGCTATTTAGTCCCACTTCTGGAAGTGGCACAATTCAGAAATGAAAAAATGAATTAGGCAGTTCTGACTGCTATGAAACAGTCAGACATGAGTCACATATGGTCAAATGACCCGAAATGCTTTGCATTTGCCTGCAGTGTGAACATAGCCAGAATACAGTAGCCTCATACTGGGATTGTCAGCTATTAACTTGAAATAAATATTTTTATTCTACCAAATGCAGGTTAAATGTTTACTTGCCAGTTTCACTGCTCTTGCATTAAATGCACAACAATATTTCATATTTCTCATGCTAATGTGCGCTAGAAGCAGTAAACATGTTGAGAGTTATTCTAAATCACCTCAGCACTTGTTCATTCCTACAGCCTGTTGATAAACGATCATCACCCTGGCTAATCAAGTGCATAATTAGATGCAGCCGTGCCCATTATGCTAATAATTTTGCTCTGTATGTTGTTTTCCAGAGTCTGGACTGCACTTCAATTAAATTGCATAAAAAAGGTCAAAGCACAGATGCAACACAGCATAAATCAGGATCATTTAACATTTGATTTTTAATCAAATTAAATAAAAGTGGCAAGGAGCAAATGTAATGTAGTTCTTGGAGGGAATAAGATTTTAACTGAAGTAAAATTTTAAATGCTTTCTGCCGCTTAAACTTTGTAAAGTTTTTGTCCCAATGTGGTTTCATCTAGAGGCAGATTAGGCTCTTAATAACAGAGCTACTTAGCAAATAATGTCTTCCTACAATTATGTTTTCTCACATTTAAATGAAGAAGGACACATACATTTGGGAAAAGGCCATGCATGTTTTTGCAGAGCTGCTCTGTAAAAGCAGAAAATGAAAGCTGCTGAAAGCATTTTACATAAATGAGGTCAGGGATGCAACAGTAGTGGAGATCATTCATCTCTTCCATCATCAGAATGTTTCTGATATTTATGCTGAATGACTTCCAAACTGTATTTAAATAATTTTCTATAAACTTTATAATTGTGCAACAGATTACCTTACCTACAAAGGATTAATTAGATAACTTTATGTACGTAGACCGTGGATCAGGAGAACTAAGAAATCTATTTGTCACCCATCATTTTGCACAAAAAGACAAGGACGTGCATTAGCCACAACAGAAACTAATGGTATTCTTCAGTTATTAGCGGAGTATAAAGAAACCCATGCTTAGTTCATGTTAATTTATCAGTCACCACATTTTTCCAGAAACCTTTTGTAATTTTAAAATTTGATACATTTGATTATCAGACTTGCACATAATTTGTTTGAAAGTTGAAAGTTTTTTCCACCTTTCAAGTCAGACGATTATTTTCTGAGTAATCAAGGCAGGGTTCGTATTCTTGGCCGGACTGTTAACTGTTAAACTTTTCTCCCCACAGTCCACTCTCTCCTGAAGTCGGCCTTCAACACTGTGGCCATAGAGAAGGAGAAGATCAAACAGATTCTTTCCGAGCAGGAGCAGTCAGACCAGTCATCCCAGATCATCGCTATCAGGAAATCTCTGTCTCTGGTAACGAAGTCCTCTGAGGTTATCTGAACGGTTGTGTGCAAATGAGGTTACAGGTGTGCCGTAAAATGTAATAGTTTGGGACAAAAATGGTGAAATCACAAAAAAAAATGTTTTTTTTTTAGTAAAAAAATTGGGATTTCAAAAGTTCCAGCCAGTTACAGGAAGCTCAGTTATAAAATTGACTTGTGAGAGCAGAGACCAACGAGTCTTGAACGCCCAGACATCCTCTCCCATCATAATTGGTGATGAAGGGAGATGTGCAGCACAGTTGGTTAACCAAACTCCTCAGGGCTGCCTTTTTACTCTAGCATTTTAATTGGACTGTTCTTCCTTCTAACCGTTGGCATAATTTTAGTGAAACGTTGCACTTGCTGCTTTATCTCAGTTATGTCCCTAATTGGATGTTGGTGTGACACGGCTCTCCCAGGCTGGAGATTGGAGGTTCGCAGTGAAGCTCTGTGGGAGGGTGATGACCAGTGGTTTGGAGTTGCTATAGATACGGCTGTTAATCCTGGCCGTTTGATTACCCGGAGGTTCAAACTGGACAGATCCATCGTTATTCCACCAGGCCTTTCTTTTCTGTATATGTGTAATACACGAGCCGGAACTGCAGCTGGTTTGGCACATCTCATGATAGTTTGCTGAACATTTTTCCCTCACAGGAAGATACTGAGCATTATTGCAAAATCGGTATAAATAAGCCACAGGTTCCCTAAGGGTCTTGAATAGTTTACAAGTTCTTATCAATTTAAGTTTGAAAATTTTACATTTTTGGACTCTACTCTGATGCAGCTAGATAAATCGTAGCTACACAGACAGTTGCATAAAGAAAAGTTGTCAGTGTAAACACCTATTCACATCCTATCACCACAATGGACGGATTGAAAAGAAATGACTGTACGTAGTGGTGGCATTGTTTATCGGGATACATGATATGTTGGCATTGGTGTCTCTTTCAGGAGATGTTATTAAATATTTCAACATCTGTCCGCTTAGTAAAACTGTATTTTATTTCTATCTAGTTGTTGCTTTTGTGTTAAAATGGGGGAGAGGAGCAGATGAGTCACAGGGTGTTTCTTTGGTCATGTGACAGTGATGACGATGAAGCAAAGGATTGTGGATTTCTAACTAAAAGAAAATCCAAAAGGGAAGGAAATATGTTTTATATGTAAATAATGATTATCCGCTGTAATGACGGTAATAATGTCAGATATTAGTCCAGATATTCTTATCAGTGTATTCTCCCAATTTTAATTTTTATCTAACTGAGTGAACTACAGTGAACTGATGAATTTCTTGCCAAAAATAAAAACAAAACAAAAACCCTCACAAAATTGCTATTTAAGCTTCTAAACCAGCGTTTTCAAGTAGGGATGTCCCAGTATGATATTTATATTGCAAATCATTCCATTATCAGACAAAAAATAAATATTGTATATTTCTATTATCTGATAATAGAAAGCTGATAGTATCCACTCCTGTTTAAAGTTTTTGTAAATCTCTGTTTAATATAATTATATATTGTCGTTCTCATACCTGATATTGCTGACTGTTTTTCTCTATTTAAGAAGTATCATTTGATAAAGCTTTTTCTATCATTCCACATGATACAATAAGCAATACAAGCATGTATGATTTATTCTGAAATCGTATCAGTCAATACTCCAAACTGTATTACTTCATACTGTAGTATTTCATAGCTATAGGGATTGATGTCCTGAAAATCTTTTATCTGTTCCAGGTCCCGTACACCTAAGCACCATTTACTCTACCCTTTTCAAACCGTGCTGAGAATGGTCCGAGCACTATAACTGTTGAGTTTAAATGGAACAAAACTGAACTGGACCGTGCCAGACACAACCGAACCTCGCTAAATCTAGTACTAGATCAACAGTAGGGCTAGGCATGGTTCAGTTTTTGCCGCAGATGTGTGCTGCTGCTGCTGCTCTCCCTTTCCAAAGGTGAACAGAAGCTGAGCTGTCTCTGTCATTTTATTTCACTCCATCTGAAGTTACCCTGCACTCGAATTAACGGACCCGGGGGGAAACCATGACGGTGTTTTCAACAATGGCTACATCCCACCTTGGTCTGCAAACAATCAGTGTAGGAAAAAAATTAAAGAAACATATGATCACTTCTACACTGAGCGGTTTCTTTTGCTGTAAACAGGACTGGCCTTTTTTTGGGGGGTCCTATAGTGTTTTTAACCTCTTGGACACTAGGCCTGTTTTCGAGAAATATGCTTGAAAATAACATGCCCAAAATGAATTGAATATATCTCAAGAACTAGAGTTTATTTTATTTTTTTGGTATCAAAATAAAGGCAAGACCCCAGAGAATATGTTACAGGTCTAAAAACCATCTTGGGGCGAGTGCTGAGGACCCAAATTTGGGTCCTCATGTTATGAAAAGGTTAAGGGATTGTAGCTAACAGAAAAAGGCTGCCCTTTTGTATTCTAGAATAGAATTTAACCTTATTGTCATAATATTGTAACAAGTACAGAGCAACAAAATGAGCTCTCTGCATTTAACCTATCACTGTGGGGAGCAGTGGGCTGCCATTGTGCAGCACCCGGGGAGCAGTCTGGGGTTAAGGGTCTTTTGCTCAGGGACTCAAAGTGGCAGTCTGCAGGAATTGAACTCAGAACTTCTGGGACTCAAGCACAATACCCTAACCACTAGGCCACCAGTCCCCAACTTTATTGATCTCACAATATGGAGACCAAGATGGCCATGAAAAAAGACAAATCCATTTCTGGATTTTCTTTGTCTTTTTTTGAAGTCCAAATGAGAGATTCAATGAAAGATTCACTGTTTCTCAGCATCCACCTCACTGTGTATGTGTTGCCCCGTTAGACCACTGTTGATAATTTGCCATCTGCTGGTTCTGGTCTTGTAAAAATTGTAAGAAGTGGGCATAAGTTATTTCTTCACGCATGAAGTGAGTGTTTATTTCTGTGATGAAAAGATAGGATGGCCAATCAGGAGGTGAATATCAGATTAAGATTATTTTTCTCTGTTTGATTTTTCAGGCTCTAGCCCAGAATGCAGAGCTTCGAAGCCGCCTCAACCGCATCCACTCTGAGTCTATCCTGTCTGAGCAAGTTGTCAGTGTGAACATCATCGCCACGCCTGACGAGGTAGGTACCTGCTGTCGGTCTCTCTCTGACTGAGCCAATTTCCCATGTCGATATCAATCACATCTACCAGAGGACATCCAGTTTCTGGCAGTGTTTGCTCCCTGTCTTTGTCCGTGGCATTATTGATTCTTGTCCAAAAGATTTATGATCTTTCCAATACACCGCATTGAGTAAGCTCAAATGAACACTGTTTGATGCAGATGCTGACATCAAGGTTAATGGGGGGAAAAAAATGAAAGATTCGGAAAGGATGGGAACCTGCCATTCGGCAGAGATACGCATGTTGTAATACGAACCCGGCGTTGCTCCCTCTGGGGCTGTTTTGTTTGCTTAGGTCTCATCCGGCTCCTAATGCTGTCATCACTTCAAGAAAAGAGTGAACAAACGCTGCTTTTGCTTGTGTTTTCCTGCAGGCCGTGGAGCAGATGGGGATCCCTCTGACTCAGCAGGCCTCCAATGAAAGTCGACTCTCCATGTCGGAGTCCGTCTCAGAGTTCTTCGATGCGCAGGAAGTGCTTCTGTCAGCCAGCTCGTCGGAGAACGAGGTATAAACAGACAGGGGAGTATGGATGTTTAAAGAGGTGGGAGGTGTGCATTCTGGTTGAGGTAAATTAAGAGGTGGGTTAAGTAAGTGCTTGTGTTGGAAAAGCAAAGAGCTGTGATCAGATGGTGGTTAACAACAGCAGCTTGAGAAACAGAAGGCTTTCATCTTGCTCTCGGTCTCCTTTAAAGCTGCCATTTCTGTCTGGTTTTAAAAGCATGCTGCTCAAACGTTCATGTCTTTTGACATCTTAAAATCATCAGCTTCTCTATCTTATCTATACTTGTTGGGATTCTATGCAATAGACCAACACAATCAAATTAAAAATGGCTTTAAACTGTTTATTCATTCAAATCTTCCAGGTCATCTGACAGTTAAGTACCAAATAATATGATCAATCACAAAAACAGATATTTTTCTTAATAAATGTTTAACTCCTCACAATATTTTTAACAGGAATTTATTTTGTAAGCCTGAAACCAAAATATTGTTCTTTAACTAAAAGGAAAGCATAAATTCCTAGTTATTTCATTTTGGTTTATTTTCCTGGCTGTATCTTGCCAGATTTGATAAATATCTGCTCTTTACTTTACTTTTGTATAAAAGCCTTTATTTGGTGCTACCTACTAGTGTTTATGTGAACACAGGTAACATTTGGCTATTTGAAGGTGATTTTGTTTTGTTAGTGGAAATCTCTGCCTAAAAAAATAAAAAAAACATGTTTTCATCTTCGTCAAAAACCTCTTCCCATCGTCCAGATGTGTGCTAGAGATAAACTGATCTGATCTATGTATCGCTCCCAACATTATAGAACATTCTAGATCGGGTATTGTTGAAAATGGACCCGATCCTTAAAGACATAACTAGTCTGTCTAGTTTTATTAGAAATTAATTTCAAAATCTCTTGAAAAGCTTCAAAATGTATTTGTTTTTGATTTAATGAATACGGACAGTTAGAGTTGCATATGCTTTCAGGCATCTGCCTTGCTAACAGGATTTACTGTTTTATGACATCCTTGTCTTACACTACTATCAAGTTTCCTTTGATATATATGTATGTATATATATATATATATATATATATATATATATATATATATATATATATATATATATATATATATATATATATATATAAATATCTTTATGTATAGTATCTTTATAAAGTTAGCAACATTGATGATAACATTAAGCAAACTGGCTGCTGGTTTTACAGAAAATTCGGAATCTGTAGGTATCCAAATTCAAGTATTGGAATCAGCTTGTTTTTAATGCTATGTGCTATTTTCTCTAATTTACCTTTAATGTCTCTTGGTCTTACCCGACTATTGCTGATAAAATGGGAAAAAAAAAAAAAGTTTCAGATTTTAAAGGCTTACAACTTCTTTGTAAAAAGTAAACTGTCTTTCCATATATTACATATGTATATGCTCTGCTGTAGTTAGGACTAAGGGTGTGCAAAATAATCGTCAAATCGATGAATCGTGATTCTAATTTTTGTGATCTACTGAATCGATTCTTGAAGGCAAGAATCGATTATTAAAAAAAAAAAATGAACAAATAAAATACATTAATGGTTGGCGCACATCAATCAAACCAAGTGGAATACAACTTCCAGTCCAGCAGATGTCGCTGCGGATGTGTTGACGCCTGCTGCTTTGTGTCATAAGCATGTCCGGACTGATTATCCTCATTTTGTTATTTTAAGTTTGATGAATCCTAAGATCTTTTTGTTGGTGTGTCCATGCCAATAATAGTAATATTTCTGTCCAGTATTTGTTTTCATTGCAACACCTCCTAAAGTAATTTCAATAAATACAGCTATGTATGAATTCAGTTGCTTTCAGTTATGTATCAATTGAAGACACGACCCAGATCACACCCAGCCAGTCAGCCACTGGTAAGGGCTGTATCTTTTTCTTACAGTGTTCAGTGAAAATATCACAATGCATCGCAATATTTCAAGTATCGTGATGCATCGTGATAGAATCGCATCGTGGCATGTGAATCGTGATTCGAATCGAATCGTGACTTCTTTGCCAATACCCACCCCTAGTTAGGACTAGATGTAGGTATCAAAGGGAGCAGATCTACCTCTGCAGCTCCCCCAGAGTTACCATGGGCATTTTGGCTGCTTCTCCAACTGATGACAAACTTAACCATAACCCTAATAGATTATATGGGTTTGTGGAGTAAATGGGGCTAAATATTGCTGGTCCCTCTGATTTACCTCTCGCACCTTTTGGTCTGTCACAGAAGGTCTTGATTAAAATAAAGTCGATACTGAAATGACAAAATCTGAAGAAGTCAAAGGGGTGTGAATACTTTAGCAGCCATAAATTATCAAAGCAGATGTTATGGATGCAGTTACAGAAAGCAGCTGCCGCATCCTCCTCTCCGATGCCTTCACTGACCTCTTTGCATTTCCGTAAATCGAGCATGAAATGCTGCAGTGACTCATGCTACTGGTACTGCAGTAAAACAGATAGTCCCTGCTGCAGTTTTTTAGCCATTGGCAAACTGCATTTTGTGTGTAAGGCTAATCTGCCCCGCACTCTGATGGCTTGGTAACACAGCGCCTCTCTGCTTGCTCTCTACCTGTACCTCTCACAGGGCTCGGATGATGAGTCATACGTCAGCGACGTGAGCGATAACATTTCAGAGGACAACGCCAGCGTGACCGATAACGTCTCCCGACAAAGTAGGTCCGCTTCTGCGCCACCGCAAGCATCTGCACTGTAGAACAAAAGGAGGGAACTCCTACATGTCCCGTAGGATGTGCTGCTCCCACAATGCCACGCACAAAACCTTAGACACACACTTTTACAGGCAGTCATTTATCAGCGCTGCAGAAGCAGTTGACTTTGCAGAGTTTCTTTGTGCCAAGGGCTTTTCTCTGGTTTTATAAACCAGCCGGGAATGGGATCCCCCTCCTTCATCTCTGTCACATCCACACGGAGGAGGAAACTAGGCCATGAAGCAGACGGGGGAAAGGATTTACATTATCAGAGTTGCATACATTTAGCATTGATTTTATAATCTGAGAGAAAATAATCAGATTTTCAGACAGAAAATCCCCATACAGCATACAGTAATCTTTTCAGCCAGTATGTGTTGGAGCTGATTATAAGGTCTCCATGGTTACCATAAAGATTCTTCTTTTCATCAGGGAAATTCTAATTATGAAATCAATTATTTAATAAACAGTTGGATTAAAGCCCTTTGTTCTGTAATCTGATTTGTTCTTTGAGAAATCTGATGAAGGTGTTGGAATCACTTTCAAAGAAAACAGCGTAATGCCACACTGAACATTATAAAGAAAGCGTTTAAATTCATGGGGATTTTTAGGAGGTAAAAAGTATGCCTTCATTGTTAAGAAATACATTTACCTTGTATTTTACTAGAACGTTAGAATGAGAATGGCAATCCAGCCTGTTCCTATCAAATGCATTTCAATAAAGCATTTACAACTTAGATTTACAGTCCTAATTAGTTCAGTTCAGTAGCTTTTATTCAGTCCTAATTATATCCAGTTTTTCCTGGAAAGCAGAATTGATATTAGCCATCCTTCAAAATGGTAAAAAGCATCTAGAGACTGAATTACCTCCAACAAAGATAGTTGTCTGAAGTCAGAAAATTGCAGAGGTGTCAAGTAAAAAAGTAAAATACTTTGGTACCTTAGTTTAGTATAAATTTTGGTTATCTATTCTTGGAGTAAATATTTTTTAGACAACTTTTTACTTCTACTACTTACTCCTTTTTGCAATTATCTCTACTTTATACTCCTTACATTATAAATATAGCCTTGTTAGTTTTGTTTAATTTCAGTTCATTTTCATAATGGCTTATTGGTATGTAAAAAAATAAAAACCATCGAAATAATTTATTTAATCCAGACGGTTGATTTCTTTGTGGTTAGACATACAAAGATAAATAGTTTTCCAAGATGATGCAAAGTTAAATTTGACACTGTTGCCATTAGTTATAAAAAAAAGTTATATATTAAGTATAAGGACATTTTCTTCCAGAATTGTAGAAAAAAATTATTTTAATGAGCTAGTGCAATAATGCGTCTGTCCTGAAAACATTTTTCCTGCATTACTTTTATACCTTAAGTAGTTATAAAAATGGTACATTTACACTTTTATTTGAGTAAAAATCGATACTTATAGATGATACTATAAATTCTTCAAAAGTGTTTTTAAACAGTAGAATTTCTACTTCTTCTTGAGTAATAAATATTAATACTTTTGAAACCTCTGGAAAATTGGAGGAAGATCTGCAGATTTCGCTTTAAGTCATCTCCAGCAAAGATTTTGTTCTCTATATCTCTTAGTTTCCATGACAACCATGAGATGTTATCTACAAGCTGTTTGTTTGGGAGTTATGCCAGAAAAGAAGCTTAAACATAAACATGTGAAGTTCACTGTGTTGCATATTTGCTTAGCAGTAAAGGCTCCACCAGGGTCCTCCATGAAAATAAATGATTAATTAAGAAAAAAAGGAAATGCGCTTTATTCCCACTTTTATAGCATAGTGGAGGATCGGTGATGCTGTGGGCCTCTTTCTCTTCCGAGTGTCCTTGGTAACCTTGTGGAGGGGAATGGAATCATTTTTGCTTTAATTAAAAAAGGAGATTTTAGATAAAAATGTTTAAAAAAAAAAAACTTTTTTAGCTGTTTTTTGTATTTATATTTCTGTATTTTACCTTGTGAAAGCAAGTTGGTCGTTACTCTTTCGTTGTTTTGGTTATTTCGTCCAGTGGCCAATGGAGACTTCGCCGGCAGCTCCTTCCGTAACGGGCGGCGCATCTGCCTGCCGGCTCCCTGCCCGGACACCAGCAACATCAACCTGTGGAACATCCTGAGGAACAACATCGGCAAAGACCTGTCCAAGGTGTCCATGCCTGTGGAGCTCAACGAGCCGCTCAACACGCTGCAGCGCATGTGTGAGGAGCTGGAGTACAGCGAGCTGCTGGACAAGGCCGCAGAGACCGACGACCCCTTTGAGCGTATGGTAAATGAGCATAGAGTCCAAACTTCAATTCACTTAGTTATAAAAGTTGATAGCGTAACGGTGGTCATGTTGGATTTTATATTGTCCCCGGGGCTTTAACATAAGCTGGAAGAATCTAGAACCGACTGGAGTTCAAGTGAGAGGTCAAAAAGTGAGCTAAAGGATGTGTAGAACAGTGTCAAAGGTTTATAAATGAAGATTTTTCTAACTAAGATAAAGTGGGTTCTGCAAGTAAAAAGTGTTTAGATCTCACTCAGCTCATCAAAATAATATATTTCATAACATTCTGTTCAAAGTTCAAGTAAAGTTGTTTCTGACCCTTTCTGGAGGGTTTATCTGTCGAGTGTAATTTCCTTTAAACCTTTCTCCTTCCTGCTGTCCTCATCAAAGGTCCTTGTCGCTGCGTTCGCCGTCTCTGGCTACTCCTCCACTTACTACAGAGCAGGAAGTAAGCCATTCAACCCGCTGCTTGGAGAGACTTACGAATGTATTCGGGAAGACAAGGGCTTCTGCTTTTTCTCTGAGCAGGTACGTGTACCGAGGATAATCGATGGAGAAAACCTGCTTCCTTGTTCAAAACTAGGTCTCTAATGTTTTCTTACATATTTATTAGTCGTTGTTTGAGCAACATTTCGAATAGTATAAAAAGTGAAGGTAAAAGCCTCTCTGGTAAGTGGCTCTGTGGCTGAAAGGGGACTGTTTGTGTTTGATGTGATCCCTCAGGTGAGCCACCACCCTCCCATCTCCGCCTGCCACTGCGAGTCAAAGAACTTCACCTTCTGGCAAGGTAGATTACCTGCTTAATTAGTCGCAGGCTTCTTCTCCTGGGAAAGAGGAGCAAACTGAGCCCCTCAATAATAACACAAATAACCATTTTTTATTTATTTATAGAGAACAAAAACTTAAATATTGTTTGAATGTTTGTGGTTTCTTTATTGGTGTTTTTTCTGTGTGCTTTCCAGATGTGAGATGGAAAAACAAATTCTGGGGGAAATCTATGGAGATTTTACCGATGGGATCTGTGAATCTCTTAATTCCCAGGTAACCGCCATCCCATCCTCCACCATGTTTTTAAGCTGAAAGGGTTAAACTATTTCAAACCAGTAGGCTCCAATTGTTCTGCTACATTTTGCTTTGCTTTGTCAAACATTCAAATTTAATTTTACTGCCAATCTAAGATTAAACTGGAAATGAAAAAAAAAAAACGTTACATTCTATATTCTCTGGTCGAATGCTGAATATTTAAACTAAATGTTTACCTTATTAGGTTAAGACCTAATGTTGCATACACTGAATTAGCAGGAATGTTTTGATAATGATTTCAGACTGCTCTTTATTTAGGTTTGGATCATTTTGCAACAAAACTGCTGGGGATTTGAAAAAAGAACTGCATGTTTAAGTTTAAACGTGTGTTTTGTCCTCTAATCCATACAATGTCAAATATATTCAGATCAGTTGATAAATGTCTTTTAGCTTGTTGCATCAGTATAACCCTCTTTTTTGCAGGGAAGAAGCTTCTAGTGATTCAGGCTGGATATTTTACTTTTCTTGTCAGGAATAGTTGAGTTTAATTAAAGCGGATGGTTTCCTGTAGAGATGAATATTTATGAAATTCTTATCTTAAGAATGTCTTGATGAGAACCTTGATTTATGGTCTTTTTCTTCTTTCTTTATTATTCCACTGGTGGTTCCATGACGGTAAACATCAGTGGATTTAAAACTATAACTATGATTGCAGTTTATAGATTTATTTATGGAACCGTTTCCTTGAAGAAGCCCATCTTAATGTTATTTTTCAAGAAATATCTTTTGTTTGCGGTATGTGGAGTCACAGCCATAAAGAAAAGTCTAAAGAGAAGCTGTTAATACCTTCTGTTGTTGCTTTTTTCATCATTACAGTACAAACTTCAACTTATTTATTCATATTTTAAGTTTTTATCGCTCATGTTTAGTGTTAAGTGTTGTTTCCATGTTACTTGCTGTTGATTTTAGCTGAACTTACAAACATATGCAAACATTCAGATTGTTTTCAGTGAACCTAAGCAGGTGGATGAGAAGAAAGTTTTTAAAATAATCAGGCAGCTATTAAACCTTTCTTCTTCATATTAGTATGATACTAATATCATATTAATATCATACTCATATTCTAATCTTAAATGTTGTCCTTTCATTATCTGTTAATGGAAAACAGGTAAACGGAAATATTGAAAGCATTAGACTATAATTAACTTATAGAAGATGAATAGTTACTAAAATAAATCAGCCTTCCTATTATGCTCTAATTAGTTAAATAATATTGTAATATGAAGGTATTCCTGGTGCTCCTTAATAGGACTGAGCAATTACTTGTATGTGAAATATAATCACAATTTAACAAAATGTATTTTTGCAATCGCAGAAGCACCAATTGCATCCAACAGGAGTAAGACATAATAGTCCTAAAAGCAGCTCTTAAGGTGGCGGTAATACACTTAAAGTGGATTTGCTGCCACAGAGAGGTAGAGTTGCAGCTAGCACACAGATCCATGCATGCAAGTAGAAGTAAGAACAGTAAAATCCTGCAACCAGGACTCTGGCAAAGCTTTTAAGGCATCAGATAAACTGAAACCCTGAAATGAAAGATTTAGAAATTTGGGGTTAGTGCTAAGGAAAACTGAAATGTTATTTTTGGCCAAATTTTTCAGCCCTACTTCTTTTTATATATCAGCCTTATCTACTGGTCGCTAATCACACTGTACTTACCAAGTCTTGAACATTTTGCAAACATTTTGACTTTAATACTTCTAAAATAAAAATTTCACTGGAAAAACGATCCAGAAATAAGCAAAAACTTCTTAAGTTAATTTAAGTAGGCAATTACTAGGTATTTTTACTCTTTAAATAAGATAATTAGATCATATGAACTTGAAATAAGAAAATTGTCTTGTTCCATTGGCAAGATGTCTTTTGCCTCCTCAATCCAAGAACAAATGCACTTATTTTCAGAAAAAATGACTTATCTAGACTCCAATTTTTTTCCCCAGTGTTCAATCTAATAGTGTCATTGGAATCCAGGACTAGACCTTATTACCTTTGTAATAAAAAAATGTATTATATATTAAAAAAAATAACAAAAGTTCTTCTATAAGAATTTCATGAAAAACACTCTGAGAGTAAAAGATAAACATTTTTTTTGGTACAACATAACCTTAGAGGCATTAATGCTGACAGTGGCATTTAAATTTTTTAGTTTATAAACCTAAATATAATTGTTAACTAGGCTTATTAACTTTTAAACTTTACTTTTTAACTAGCTTTTTTTTACTTTACGTATTACCTTAATTTCCAGTAGGTAATATCTCTTTCAAGGGCTCATCTAATACCGTATTTTCACGACTATAAGGCGCACTTAAACGTCTTTTTTTCCCCCTCAAAATGTGCGGTGCGCCCTATGGTGCGGTGCGCCCTATGTGTGTTGTAACTGCGACTTTTGAGACCACCTCATTGAGGAGATGATGAAAGAGTGGCTGAATGTAAGGAGACCAGGTGTTTTTTTTCCACCCCTCACCATCGCTGTTAATATGTAACTCCATGCGTGCCCATCTCACAGCTGATGTGAAAAACATGGGGAAACAAATTAACGCTGTGCTCGCTGTTCAACCGCTCGACATCGGTGTGAACCGGACCCAGCAGGTGCAGCAGAAGCAGCGAGTTTACATGCAAAGTCAATGGTTGACGCGCATATAGGTGCAGCAAAAGGTCCCGCAGCGCGTTTTGAGCTGCAGGTGCAGCACGTCGGGAGCGTTTAAGCATCTGACGCACCGCCAACGCGCTGCTGCTGCTCAGATGGAAAAATTGAAGTTTTGCTGCTGGACGCGCCGCATCAACCAATCAGAGAAGCTGATCTGGGAGCTGACAGCGAGACAGACAGCGCTCTGATGACATATGATATTAACGCAAATGAAAAAGGCTGGATTGATGAGGAGATGATGAAAGGCAGGTGTATGTGAGGAGACCAGGTGCTTTTTTCCACGCATCACCATCGCTGCGTGCCCATTTCACAGCCGATGTGAAAAAAAGATGAATCAAATGAACGCTGTGCTCGCCGTTATCCCGGGGGTCTGACAAAGGAACTTCCACCGCTCGACATCGGTGTGGAGCGGCCGTTCAAAGTAAGGCTGCGAGCGGCGTGGGAGCGATGGATGACAGACTGAGACCACAGTTTCAGGATAAGTGGAAGGCAGCGCCGGGCAAGTTACGCCACCGTTTGCGGATGGATTGTAGATGGACTAACGTGTCTGCTGGCTCTGTTGTTCAAGCTTTCGCAAAAGCCGGCATTATTTCTGAGGAGCTGCGCTGCACGGAAAGTGACTGACAGCGCAGAAGGGGAAACTGGCATGTCTGATTTAGCGCAGCTGTTTTATTCAGAGGAATGCTGAGGATAACAGAGGATGATGACTTTGATGGGTTTGATTAATACTTTGTAATAAATACATGAATAAAGCACAATCATACTCAGGTTTGCTCCCGCTCTATTTTTCTACCTGAAAACTTAATTCAACAGCAGCCTCTGGGCGCGTCTCCTCCTCTTCAGCGCGGCGGCTGGCAGGTGTTTTTTCATCTAAATAATCTAAATCTTGCAGCTATATTTGCTGTGATCAGTGGGAATAAAGTAGTTTTAATATGTTTTTAAGTGAGAAAGTCCACCTGAAAACTTAATAATTGCAGTCAGTTCATCCAGATTATCTATTTCTGTCGGAGGCGCTCAGACCCCCACATACCAGCGGTGCGCCGACAGGAGAAATCCTTTCGTTCACCGCGGCTGCTGGCAGGTGTTTTTCATCTAAATAATTTTAGCTGCAGGCACCAGGATACCGGTAATAAAAGCGAACATATTCCGTCGGCAGGTTTTAGGATTTTAAGTTAATTTAGGAGTGATCACAGCGCTGTGTCATCTGCGCTGTGTCTGTCTCACGGCCAGCTGCCAGGTTTGATTAATACTTTGTAATAAATACATGAATAAAGCACAGTCATACTCAGTTTTGCCCCCGCTGTATTTTTAAATACGCAGTAGAGGTATTTAAAGGTAGTAGAGGACATGTACCTGTATATAAAAAACGCGCCCTATAGTCCGGTGCGCCTTATGTGTGTGTTAAAGGAATAGTACACCCAAAACATGATTAGCCTTCATTTTCTACTCACCTCCATGCTGAACAACACTCTGGAGTACTTTTTTGATATCTCAAATGCATCTGGAGATCTGGGAGGCTTCTTGCTGTCTGCTGGCATTCAAATAATGGAGGTCCATGGCGCCCGAGACAGAAAGGTCCATAAAAGTCCACAAAAAACGTGTCAATATTCCTCCATACTGCTCGTCCAATGTAATCCAAGTGTCCTGAGTGGGTAGCATCCAGAATTTACTCGAAACGAAGTCATTTAGAATGTTTTTAGAGCATAAACAGTAGTGTATAGGATTTCCTAATAGCGCCCCCATGCGCGCTCACGATTCTACGGAAGCCGGCAGACCAAACCGGAAGAAAGTGCGCATTCAGCGTCTGGTCTGCCGATAATGCAAGCGTAGAAGAAGAAATGTGCTGTTTACCTGTGCAAAGAAAGAAACAACGAAAGAAAAATGTCTGAGGACTTCAGTGTTGAGGAAGAGCATGAGTTCTTTGCCGAGCTGAATGCGCTGGTTTGGTCTGCCGCGGTTTCCGTAGACTCGTGAGCGCGCATGGGGGCGCTATTAGGAAATCCTATACACTACTGTTTAGGCTCTAAAACGTTCTAAATGACTTCGTTTCGAGTAAATTCTGGATGCTACCCACTCAGGACACTTGGATTACATTGGACGAGCAGTATGGAGGAATATTGACAAGTTTTTGTGGACTTTTGTGGACCTTTCTGTCTCGGGCACCATAGACCTCCATTATTTGAATGTCAGCAGACAGCAAGAAGCCTCCCAGATCTCCAGATGCATTTGAGATATCAAAAAAGTACTCCAGAGTTTTGTTCAGCATGGGGGTGAGTAGAAAATGAAGGCTAATCATGTTTTGGGTGTACTATTCCTTTAAATACAGAAATGGGACACATAACTGAGAGTGCGCCTTTTAGTCCGGTGCGCCTTATGGTCGTGAAAATACGGTAGGTCAAATGCCAAAATAAGATGTACAGCCATGTAGCAGTATCTTTGCTGAATGGCTGGATGTAGATCTAGTGCTTCTAGACCTCACAGAGGGTCAGGGGACTCTATTTTTAAGGGGTATGCAAGTGATCAAAAACGGTAACTTGGCCTATAAAGGGTTAACATTTTCATATTCTAGCTCTGGGTAGTTTTGAAAAAAATAACAATTAATAATTGTATGTTCATTAAATATATTTAAAAAGAGGGATTGTCCTCTGAAAGAGATGTTAACCTATTGACCTAATGTTATTCTAAATGCTGATTTCTATTAAATTGGTGACCGTTTTAGGTTCAGTTTGAGCTTCTGTTTGACCCACTGATGTTCTTGCTGTTTTGACTGACGGATCAACAGATTTTTAATTTCACTGATTTATCGGCTTCCATCTGGATACAAGCTGCTAAAATGAGCCTCTGCTGTAGGATGACTGGACTCAGTATAGACTGATGTACTCTCTAAGTGGTTAGTCTGATCAGGATGGCGTCTGGCTGTCTGGATAGGTGGATTATTTTAAATCTAGGTTTCAAACTGGATGTACGGTTCTTGGACTGGGTTTCATTTACTATTATAGTTCCTTTATCTTTGACGTTCAGGAATCAGTGATTTAAACGGCCTGGATTAACTCTAAGAATCAATATTCTTCTGGATCTCACATTTTAACTGATTCAAGATCAGTAAATAAAATACTGAGATGGTTCTTTACAACACTACTGAAAAAGAATTGACTTCAGCCATGGAAAAAGGACTATGACATTGTATTTTAAATATATCTAGAGTGAATTTAAACTTGTGCAGCTTGTTTTAAAAAGGATATTAAAGTTGTAAATCCATGAGGATGTTTCAAATACATCATTTTAAAACCCTAAAATGGAAATAACACCAATCCCAGGGATAAGATGTGTTCATTTATGACTGAAACGGTTCTGTCTTCTCACAGGAGAACATTGATGTTGGGATTTTAAAATGTTTTTGTCGTTCTTTGTTTTGTTTGTGTTTTTTTTATCTAAAGCTGTTTTTGTTCCAGTCTAACAGCTGTCAATGTTTCCTTCCAGGTTTGGAGATCATTATGAATGGAATAAAGTCACCACCTGTGTGCACAACATCCTTAGTGGACGACGGTGGATCGAACATTACGGGGAGATCACCATCAGAAACACCAAGAGCAGCGCCTGCCTTTGCAAACTTACCTTTATTAAGGTGATAAAATATCCTAATAAAGGAGCAAGTGACAGATTTATTCTTATTAGATGATTTATAAGAGGTTTTCTTCTTACTTTTAGGGAAACTATTGGAGCTCAAATGTGAACGAGGTCCAGGGATTTGTGATGGATCAAGAGGGGAAAGTGATTCACAGGCTTTTTGGAAAATGGCATGAAGGTCTTTACTGCGGCGTCCCGCCGTCTGCCAAATGTGTCTGGAGGCCAGGTACGCTCCCTCTCTTCACACACAGCTGGGCATCGTGCAAAACTGGCTGTTAAAACAAAAAGCTTTAAGCTTAAAGCCAACCTGATTTCCCCCTCAGGCTCCATGCCGACAGACTACGAGCTCTATTACGGCTTCACCAGATTCGCCATCGAACTGAATGAGCTGTGCCCCGAGCTGAAAGACGCCCTGCCGCGTACAGATGCTCGCTTCAGGCCCGATCAAAGGTGCTGAATCCTGGCCATTAGGGCTCAGCTAAGCAAATTCTTTGGATTATTTGTTATTCTTACCAGTTGACCTTTTCCACATTTTTTCACATTAAAACCAAATACTTTAATGTAATTTATAGGTGATTAAATAGACTTGGATTGTGTGTAATTAGACCCCATTATAAATAAAGATGTGATGCAAAGACTTTGGAGGTTTAATCAGAGAAAATTAAAGAAAAAACAGCATCTTAAAGGACAGGCATTAAAAAGCGATTGTAGAGAGAAAGGCATCCAGATGGATGCTTAAAACAGGGGATGCTGCTGTATGCAAATGGCCTGAAAACAAAAGGGCCTGATCATTAAGATTCCAAATAAGGAGCGCTAAACTGTATGTTCAGAAAAGTGTTTGCATGTGCAATAAGTGGGCATGTCTGCTGTGATCTAAAATGACTTTTCAAGCGCCTGTTAAGACATACAAACCTGTTTGGTCCTGCTGCTTTAAAATGAGCAGATTGTCGGTTCTGCTGGCAGTAATAACCTGAGTTCCCTCTCTGAATGAGAAGGACCTGGAGTAGCATTTACAGCAGGTTTTCCTGTGAACATCTGGATTCCTCACCAGCATCTCTTTAGAGGCTCTATGTGGGATGCTCTCATGCCATAATATTTATGTTCAGTCTTTAATTTTAATTTTGATTCAATTGTACATTTCCCAGCTTGCATAGGCGATTTCTACAATTGTTATTTTTGACCATACAATATAATATTAATAATAATCCATCCATCAACTTTTCTGCACGTCTATCTCAAGCGGGGTCACGAGGGGTGCTGGTGCCTATCTCCAGCAGTCAATGGGCGAGAGGCGGGTTACACCCTGGACAGGTCGCCAGTCCATCGCAGGGCAACACAGAGACAAACAGGACAACAACCATTCATGCACACACTCACACCTAAGGAGAATTTAGAGAAGCCAATTAACCTAACAGTCATGTTTTTGGGCTGTGGGAGGAAGGTGGAGTACCCAGAGACAACCAACGCATGCACAGGGAGAACATACAAACTCCATGCAGCAAGGCGGGGAATCAAACACAGAACCTTCTTGCTGCAAGGCAGCAGTGCTACCCACCGTGTCACTGAGCAGCCCGATAATAATAATAATTATTATAATAATAATATTAATTTAACTTTATTGATCTCACAATGGAGAAATTCACTTCTGCATTTAACCCACCCCTCAGGGACCCAGAGGCTGTAGGGATCGAACAGGCTACTTGCAACCTCAGAGCACAAGTGCACCGATCTAACCCTCTAGGCCAACACCTCCCATATATCATCATCCAAACTAAATCTCTCCCCATCATCATTGTTCCAATGTTTTGCACATTTCTTTTTATTATGCATAATCCCTCTTAAGATCAGTGTAGTGGAATACTAATGCTTCTCATGGTGAAACAATGTCAGTTAATGCAGTATCATGCTGCGGGATCCAGATCAGAATCAATTTGGGAATCTATGGGGATTTGAGAACTATTTTTAAGAGACTCTCCATCCAATCTGACCAAGCCTCTGCTATATTACACAGAATAATCTGCAAACAACTTCAGGCCGTTACATCTCCACTAATCTGAAATATGATGCTGTGGTTCTGAGTTTTTACTCAGAGGGGAAGGAAAAATTAGCTTTTTTTTAATCCAGGAGTTTTGGTTGTTACAACTGGAAACCCAAACATCTCTTTCCTTTCAGTTAACAATTAGGCATTGATATGTTTCATCTGTTTTATATATATTATCAAAGAAGCTAAAGTTTGTGGTTTTAACAGCAAACTTCTCAAACTGAACATAATCCAGCAAAAAACAAAATATTTTTACAGTGAAGGCCCACTGCAGCTTGTTTTTCAGATTACTTTCTCTTCTGGTAATTTATCTCCCTCATTTTTCTGCTGCAGATATCTGGAGGAAGGAAACGTGGAGATGGCCGCCTCTGAAAAGCAGCGAATCGAGGATGCCCAGAGAGCCAGGAGGAAGTGGAACGAAGAGAACAACATCAAACACGAGCCGCGCTTCTTTAAGTAAGGACAAGCCTGCCTTTTCACCCAACTGAAATTGATTTTATTGACTTTGTAATTCAGAACAATTAGCCTTTCAAATTTAGTGTTGAAGTGCCTCCTCTGGGATACTTCTGCACACACTAAAGCATTTAAAGCAGGCACATGTCTGGATTCAGGCAATAACAAAGGCAGAAATGTAGATAATTTTACTTAGTTTATTTGAATAATGCCAGTATACAGGATATATCACCTCAGAGCACAACTACGGTATAACAGAATACCTCGCTAATTAAGGGATGTCCCGATCCAATACTGAGATAAATCAGCCAAAAAAATGATCATTGGAACTTATGCACGGATCAGTTGCTCTCATTCTTGTTGTTGATTATTGTTTTCTGTTTGAGTGATATCACTCAATCAAAGCTTTTTATTCTACACTACAAAATGACTAATAATAAAAAGTATAATTTAGGCTTAAAATCCTTTCATAAGTTCATCAGTAAGGCACAGCATGTGTCTGCAGCCTCTGGTGTCTGCTCTGCTCTCTGCTCTCTTCTTTTATCAGCAGATTGATACTTTGAGCGAGGCATGGATCCCCTTTTTGTGTGTTTTATCCTCATTATATTACCTCCAGACTCTCTGAGTCCGATGCTGAGGTTGTAAATAGTCACTGCTGGCAACCTCTGGTTTACAGGGGGGCTGCTGGTTCTGCTAAATAAAGCTGAAGAATCCTTTAAAAAAATCCTTAATCTAGATTATGATCTGGATTATCACCAATTTTATGGAGTGTTCCTTTGAAAAAAATCCTCTAAATCTGTTCTTAACTTTTCAAAAAGTCCTGCTAACAGACAAACAAGACAAAAGCCATAAGCTCTGGAGATAATAATTAAAGATAATTATTATCTCATCAACAAGATTAATCAACTTTAGATTAACTAATTGATCAATAATTTTCTTTCCTATTTCCTATTCTTTTAGTTTCCATCGAGGATGTTGAGCTTTTTAAGAGTCTGTCTTTTTTCCACCAGGCAGCCAGTCCACACCTGTCAGTGCAGCGCCGCTCGGTGCATCAGTCACGTTTAAAACAGTTTGATTGGAAAACTTTTTCCCACAAAGCAGTTTATATTCTAGAAACGTTTATTTTAGGGCGGTTCTTCAAAGGAAAAAAAAAAATATATATATATATATATTTGCATTGCAATTTTTTATCTCTCCATGCATGTCTATCTCCAGTAATCATTGGGTGGAAAAATGGAGTTCAGTGTTGCATTTCTACACAGACTTCCTTTTTTCGTTGTCGCTGGTATGTTGAAGCCAAATTAACGTGTGTGTAAATAAGAGAGAAAGGAAGATAATTATCCACTGGTCACCTGCTGAGTTCCACATTTCAGCTCCGGCTGCCATGGTGATGATAACGGCAGCGAATATCATGCAGTGATGTGTTAAAATACTCCCCCTTTACTTTTACTGATTTCTTGTTTTTTTTGTTGTTTGTTTCAATCAAAACACTGCTTATTGCAAACAAAAATAACCTGAACAAAAAAAAAAAAAAGCAGTTTTCAAGTATTTTATAGAACAAAAGATGTGGGATTTTCATTCCACACTGAAAAAAATAATGCAACCACTTTTGGCATTTACTTAATCATATTTAACACAATTGTTTCATGTTATCAGGGTAGAAAATAAAACAATTGTGTTAAAGTAACTAAATATGATTAAGTAAATGCCAAAAGCGGTTGCATTATTTTTTTGAGTAGCTGAGCCACAGTAGCTGACCTGCCAAAATTATTCCTAAACATCAGAAATTCACAAAACAACCCGAACCTTCAGAGGCTGATAAAGACAGTAAAACAATCAGCTTTTTTTCCACAAAGCTAAAAACCCTGTTCTGTTTTTGTCCAGGAAAGTGATGGATGCCAACCACAGGGAGAGGTGGGTCTCCAACAACACGTACTGGGAGCTCCGTAAGAACCCTGGCTTCATCAACATGGAGCCCACCGTCAGCCTCTGGTAGCACATGGATCAGCATCCATGGCAACACCAGGAAGCCCTTACCTATGCACAGGAGGCGCGTTGGATAGAAACACTCGCTGCATGGACCGGAAGGACCGCGGAGTGGAGGGATGACCTGTTGCCTCGCGTGGGTGGGGGCTGCCAAGTGGTCACCCATCCATGGAAACATCCTCATCCTGCTTTTTTGAAGCCAGGTCGCAGCTACTACGTAGATCGCTCCTCTGACTTTCCCAGTTTGTCCTTGCCTTAAAAAGACCCCCATATGACTCAAAGGATTAGGCGCCTTTTAGTTGAAGCCATTTCGTTTCCAAACAGCAGTTTGGCTTAGACTAGTCTATGGAGTAGACATCTGGATTACCTTCCATCCGTGCATGTTTAGAGAGCAGCTTTCTCCGGCATAAAGCCGTATTTATTATAAGATCAAATATTGTAGAGAAAAAAATAAGAAGTATTTTTGTAAAAAAAAAAAAAAGAAAGAAAAAGAAATCTTGTGTGAAAGAGAATAACTTGAATTGGCAGATTTTATTTATTTTTTGCTTTTTAATACTAATGAATCTATGAAATGGCAGCATCTTCTCTGGGGAAACGACTCATACTAGATTAACAGAAACAGCGGGAGTAGATTAACGACGCCCCGCCAACATGCAGGTTGGTATTAAACGTACAGCCTGTTGTAAATAGCTCACACACCGTCTGTCATGATGCAATCATGTTTATTGAACATTTTAATTTAAAGACACGTGGTCAGAATGGGTTTCTGTGGAGAGGTGTTTTCCCCACTGTGGGACAATTAAGGAATATTATTATTTACTGTTTGCAAAGAAAAAAAGGTATTTTATTTCCATGACCTTTTGAACCTAAACCATCCCGTTACAACCGTAAACACTGATGTATTTTACTGGGATTTAGGTGATAGACTTACACAAAGTGAAGCATAACTTTGAAGAGGAAAGAGAAGACTGTAATCTAGTGTGTCTTTCGGGGTATTTCCACTGCAGCTTTGCACGTCTAGACACTAAAATCTTTGAGACAGCTCAGTTACACAAGATGGAGAGCCACATTCTCATTTCCATACTGTACAGCATCCAGCGTTTGCTGGCTTTTCCTTATTTTGATCCCTTTCCCCATTAAAGATACAGAATGAAGATGTTTAAACTATGAGGCGATAATGTATGTAGCAAACAAAAAAAATAGTGAAATAACATTTTTTAGATTCTTCCAAAGAGCCCCTCTTTGCACTTTTTTGTTTCAATTAGCTTCATATAAGGAGATGTGTCCTTTTCATCTGACCTGAAAAATATCTTTTTTATGTTCGCTTGTGGAAAAACTATAAAGTCAATTTAGCTTTCTTTGAATGGTGGATTATTATTCCCCTCTGTTGTCCAAAGGACAGATTTGTGGACAGCTGGTATCACTTATTCTCCTGATAGCTCCTCCATAGCTACCATGGGTCTCTACTGCATTTTTCAGATTATTCTTCTCCTTTACTGGCCGGTCCTGATAGATCTGCTTTTGCTCCATACTCCATCCTTGCTCAGATTATGGAAAAGGAAATCCAAATATTGGAATATTGGCTTTATGACCCGATTCCAATTAAAACTTCTCAACTTTCCCTCCGACCTTTCTGCCGGCTTCTTCATGATGCTGTTTGTTCACTTATTTTCTCCAACAAACCTCTGCAGTGTTGATAGAACATTTTGATTTATACTGAGATTAAATTATGCTCAAATAAAAGAGGCTGAATAGAAAGACTTTCTCCGTTTGTAAAAAAAAATCTAATACTCCTAAATTATGCAGGACTGTTAGTCTGTGACCTAAAGTCCCAGTAAAAGCAGCTGAGGTTTATGGTTGTGACGGTCTGTAAATTTAAATTGACTGTGAATTCTTTTGAGATTTGCAGTTAAATATTTAAAGCTCAGTGTAAGAAAACACAAAATGATAAAGATTGTAAAGGTTGGTCATTATTACATCAGCTTAAAAAAAAACATTTTCCTTTTAACATTTAAAAAAAAATTCTGATGATCTAAAAATATTCAGAATCTGTCATTTTTCCAGATTTGTGGCAATTTTCTTAATCAGTTATTCCATTTAAATATTAGAACTGGTAGGGGACTGTGTATAGATAATGATGCAACAGCGACACCTACTGGTTTTCATATAGAAGACCAGCAGGCTAACTTTTTCATACTATATTAAATTTTTTTTTTTTGCTTTTTTGTGACCTAATTATGTCGAATTCCCCAGAAAACTTACTGCTAGGACTTTTTGCTTTTACATAGAACCGGACGGTTGCATAAAGTTTGTATATTTAGTGCAAAACTGAGAAGCTTTAATGTTTGGAATAGCTCCTTAACTTTTTATTTAGTTCTTCAGACTAATAGAACCTTTAAAAAATATCTCACACTGTCCAAATCTAAAATGGTTCCCTTAGTCCTGCCCTGCAGGGTGAAAGAAGATTATATATATATATAAATAAATGGGCAGAGTGAAGATTGCAAACCAAAAAACAGGTAGATCTGCTTTGCATTAATGGGATTCATATACTATAAAAAAATATCTCTTGGATCACAGTCTTAATGCTACATCTCTTTGGTTTCACTTGCTGTGCCTTAATGCATTTATCAATGCCTCTCACACACACCCCCACACCACGAAGAAGGTATGCCATTAAAGAAAGTCACCCTGCACACTCTCCATCAGCCTGCAGATGATTACACACGCTAAGGATTTCCTTCTGGAAGAAAAAAATTCGATTTAATGTATTTTCGTTTCGTCTGCAGCACGTTGCTGGTTTAAAGACGTTCTTCACCGGGTTCAGCGACGGCGTCCCAGCAGCTCAAAGCAGTGGTTAGCGTAGTCCTTGTATCATAGAATCAGGAAAAAAAAATAAAAGATCTGAAGCTTTTCTTCCCCTTCGCTCCACCTGCATGCCTAGAATACATTAGCTTGCCAATGAATGTCTTTGATGCCTTACAAAGAAAAGGGTTTTTTGTTTTTTATTCCTTTAAAACTTGGACCCCCTATTCTTCTTTTTGGACTGACACATTATTAAAAGGCACTAAAAAGTCAGCTTGGTTTTAATCAGATCTTTTCCCTAGTGGATACCTTCTAAAGTGCAATTTTAACTAAGTACATATCTCTTCATGAACACTGTACACTGCTGCTGCATAGTGCTTGTTCTAATAAAACAGCAAACGCCAACTGAGGAATCGGTGTGCTTTTATATCCTGGAAAAACACACAGCTGAAGTCTTGCATGATGATAAGATTGGGTTACTTTCAGCTAGGCTGGAATAAAAACGTAGAAATGGGGACTGGTATTAGATGCTCAGAGTATAACACTTCAGTGGACAATAGGACAGTTTGGACATTTCTATTTATGCAGGTGATTCTGAGTAATTCAAACAATCATGAAATGCTTTCATATACAGGTAAACAACATATTCATACTGCTAGCAGATTTATTTTTTTTACATTTTTTTAAAGGATGTATCTCTCCCTCTCTTCAAATAAGAGCTTTAATTTATTGCTCCAAATAATCAGTAGAAATCTGCATTGGGATTACAGCCAATCAAACCGCTGAATGCTTCCATCTTTCTATTTGGTGTTAAGATGATTTATTTTTGCTGTTTGAGATTGGAGGTTTGGCCTCTTTGCCATTTTGCTCCCTCCTCAAATTTGTTTTATCTGATCAAATTTGGAACCTATTTGGTTTTAAAAAGCTATGTCATGATGAAAGAACAGCAAGATATTAAAGTAACATCTCAACACATTAGCCAGGAAGTTTATGATAATCCTAAAGGTACCAGCAAGTTGTTCAAAAGTGGCTTAAAAACCACATTGTTGATTTTTGTTGTCTTGGAAAACCTGGAAACAAAGAGCTGAACACAGTACTATAGAAAGTACGCAGAGTTAGAAGGTTCTGCAGCTCGTGCTCAGCTACAGTCGTTCTACCACTAGAAATGGGCCAAAGTACTAAAATTAAGGTTGATTTGCCAAACAGTATAAAAAGCAATTTCACCAAAAATTAAAGGAGCGTATGTCAGCTTCTGAACATGAAAACGTTGATGATAAAATTAGTAAACAGAGATAACTGCATCGGGCTCCTAAGGGGAGAAAAACTGGGAAAATGCAAACATCTGGTGCCTTTTGACCACACTAGAAACTATAAATGCATGAGTGATGTCACCACGCCTATTAGGACATTTAGAGCAGTCTGTTATGGATGATAGCAGCTCCGTTCTTTTAATTTCCTGGTGGGGGTTTTCTGTATTATTTCTCCGTGTAAAATGCATTTTGGTATTCCACTTTTTGTTAAACTCGTTACATTTGTGAAAAAAAAAACAATCAAAAAAAGGCTCCCAGAGTCAATTATCTAGAGGAAATTTCTCCTTTTTTTGTGAGCTTGGTGTTCTTCAATACATCTGGTATCAAATATATCAAATATATAAATCAAAACTGAAAACAGCAAACATTTAGGACTCTATTGGTTTTATTTTCTGGTTTCAAACTCCTGAATCTGCACTGGTGCTGAGGTCTTACACAAGTCTGGAGATTTTGTTCCACAGAATCACATTTATACGATCAGGAAAGCTGAAAGTAACATGCAGGTCAGTTTGAAGGGCGCAAACCGCTCTGCAGAGCGCGTTTAGATAAAACAAACAAATCTGATCTTGTGCATTGAATTAGAAAAAAACAATTTAAACCAATGATATTCTATAGATGGTAGTTAGAAATAAAAAAATATGAATAATCTGCACCATGACAGTAAAAGCAATTGAGGATCATTACATCCAGGACAAAATATGGTTTCTTTCCCAGAGCAATCTATGGCTTTATGTAAAACCATCATACTATAGCCTCATGCACATATTTTCAGACTTCTCCACAGGGACATTTTTCAGCTGCTGTAAGTGATCCACTTTCCCTCCTAAAGAGCCTTATATATTTTATGCAGGCTTTTATTTTTATCTCTCTGTTCTACTCAGAATGTCATTATGGCTCCATCTTGACAATGAATTTAGTGATCGAATAATCGTCACACTAAATCATTTAATAAAAACCAACTCATTGAGTAACAGCTTTACGAAAAAAATATAGATTTTGCATTTAGGATGTAAAAAAACTTGTTTGAATACGATCTATTCAGAATTCATCATTTCTGAGCGTTGAATAGATTGTTAACATTATTTTGGTATTTAGCGCGTTTCAAATAAGCAATAAATGTTTAGTTTTTTAAGTTCAAATATGTATTAAATTTTTTTTTTGATTGACTATCAAAAAAAGTGATAGATGTCAATCAATGAGCGAGCAGAACTATACGTGAGACTTTCATAATAGAATCAACATTAATATATTGAGGGTTTCTTCTGAACAGATAAAAAGTGATTTTTGATGTATTTTAGTGATTGAAGAATATTTTTTAAGCTAACAGAATTCCTGTAGGTAACTAAAATGCTGTATTTACAATAGGTGAGTAGTTTCAATGCTAACCAGAGCTGCCTTACATTTATTTAATGTCAGTTTGAATTTCAAGCTAACTGTGGAGGAAGAGGGAAAGAAACAAAGGGGGACAGGCTAAGAAGTTAGCAGTGTAAAATTTTGTCTTGTTTTTATGCCAGATAAATGTAGTTATGCTCTATATTTCAACGTGAGAATAACCCTGTGTGAGAATAGCGTGGCTTTCAGCTGTTTAAGAAAAAGCTAATTGTTTGCAGTCATTTAAAATTTACTTCTATACTCCTGAAGCACCACGGTAAACCTGCTTCTGCTAGATGTCAACAGTCAACAGAAATCCCACGGAGCTGCTCTGTTACACACAAGACGACAGGCGATGGTTTAGGTGAAGTATCTGTGAATGCTGGTTGGATTTCTATTTGCTGGTGGCCATGATCTTCATGTACTGGAGTGCGCTGTGCGCCGCGTCGTTGTGGGCATTGCTGCAGGAGATGCCGGTGCCGTGGCACACGGTGACGGGGGAGGTGGACAGCTCTGCCAGGCACTGGTACTGACCGTTCACCGTCAGCTCATCTGCAAAAACACCAACACCTTTCAAAGGGAGTATTGCACCTAAAAGCATCTATCACCTACAGTAAAAAGCCCTTCAGGCAGCCTGGACACAGTCATCAGATGATATTTCAATCACTGTACGAGCAGCAGCTTAAACCAGTCTTAATACGCTTGAACTTTTCCACATCTTGTCTCATCTAACAGCAGATTAATGCACTTTGTTACGATCTCATATCATCAACAGCCAAAGTAGCACAGAATTAAAGGGGAAAAAAATTAAAGACTTCAAATTGTTCATGTATTAAAAGCTGAAGTGGCAGATGTGAGCATTTTACAACAAAGTATTAGGGTGAAGAAAAAAATGAGGAACTGTTTTGTTGTTGCTAAACTGAATTAAGATCGAAGACAAGATGACAATAAAAAATGGAAAAAGTATCAGAACAATAAAGTGGAAATATGTCTGGTTCAAAGACCTCTTCCTCTTTGATCATAAAAGCAATTCGTTAACACATACTGGATCTGTAACTTAAATATCTCACAATCTCAACCTTTTCTTTAAATACAACTTTGAACTTATTCTAAATATTTCAACTGTACGAAAAAAGAAAAAAAAACCCGCCATTCTTTACTCCATGTGACCCTAAAACTTCCCTAAAGTATTCTGCTTTACCTGAGGAAATACCTTTTAGAAAAACCTATAGCAGAAAGACTTTTATCCCATTTACACTACCCTAGAAAAACCGTGCCGAGACCAGTCCAAGCTCAGTAACTGAGATAACTTATCGTGTGTAAATGGTTAGCAAACTGAACTGAACTGAGCTAGACACAACCGAACAAGGATAACTGCAGACCAGCTCCAGAGGTGGGCTCGGCGCGGTTTTTCCCTGGCTCGGTTCTCTGATAACAAGAGCGCATGAGCAGAACGCGTCATCTCCATCTGGCTGCACATCCTGATTCACACTCTATTCCAGTAGTTGGCGGTAATGCCCCTCCGGAAACAGAAGAAGAAGAACAACTTCTTCAACTATAAACAACAATTGAAATCTTCTCCACGCAACATTTTAAATAATAGCATTTTAAATAATAACACCGAAGTACAGCAATAATAATCAAGCATAACTTTCTGAGTGTGACGGGCGCCGCCATTTTGATTTGCTTGATTCCCTCCTTCTTCGTCTTCTTCTTCTTGTGTTTTATGGCGGTTGGCAAACAACTTTTGGTGCATTAGCGCCACCAACTGCTTGATTTCCTCCTTCAATACTGGCAGTAATACCGGAGATCGTCACTAGGAGGCGAGGAGTTGAGGAACCGAGATAGCATGATGAGTAAACGGTCGTCAGAACCGAGCTCGGCATGGATCGGTTTTTCAAGGGTAGTGTAAATCGGGTATTTGATGCACATCTCCCCCTCTGTCTCCGCTCTGCCCCGCTCATGTAGTCGTGCGGAGCACTGGGGCAGTCATATTAATCAATGTGAACTGTTCCACGTCAACCACTACTCCTCCGCAAGTCGCTGTTCAAGTACGTCTTCTCCATCCGTCACCGTCAAAATACTGAGCCAAGCTGTTTTTAGGTCCGCTCCAGTCCAGATCAACAATTGCAATCGCACCAAACAGCAAAAAGAACATCGAGAAGATCCGGTTTGTCAGATTAAAATATATTAACGACAGATCGGTAACTACAAATTAGAGCATAATTCTTATATATTCCCAAAAACTAAGGCCGTTTAATTAAATGACTGGATGCAAACTATCGGTACTTCAACATACCAGGAAGCAGATTTCTCATCTCGATCAAAATATTTATTTCATACCGAGAGGCTTAAAAGTTTCATAGTTTCATCATTTCACAACAACTTCCGAGAGCAAATCTTACAACTTCAAAAGTAACGTCTTATCGAAGGAATGGAGGAAGAGATGCCGGCTTTGGAAGTCGATAACAAACCAATTTTGCACGATCCTAATTATCCATATTACAATTATATCATATTAAATTAAGCGTTAATTTCCACATGTTTTGCTCCTATGAATTAATGATAACAATAATAACTTCACGCATGCTCTCCTAGACTTCCAGGGTTCACTTTGTGCAGGGGGTCTGGAACGAAGCGGGGCGGTTACGAAGGATGCTGGATTTCGAGGTTAAACTCAGACAGTATGGAGACGATCTAAGAAACATTAGTCTGCAGATTTTCCATTCTAACACATCAAGTTGTCTTGATCCAAGTAGGCTTCTCTGTTAGCTCTGGCTGTACGTTTTCTTCCATACCCAGAAAGAAGCAATCTATTCTGGATGGGATTATTTTAAAGCATAAAAGCTTTATTTATGATTCACGTTTTAAAATGGGAAAGTGGCTCTGTAGGACTGGAATTGGGCAGCCCTGCTTTAGATCATCAATACCCTGAAGTGTGACTAACAGATGTAGAGATCTTACCGATGTCAAAGTATGTGACTTCAAAGCCTTGCTCTTTGGAGAGCTCTAGCAGCATCTGAATGTAGTCGGTGTTGGGAATGCTCAGGGGGTTTCTCCTCAGTAGAGAGATCTTCTCTGCTGTGGAGTTCCTGATGTTCTCAAAGCCAACGCTTGGATTCGGAGTCTAGAAAAAAAAATATTGGGAAGGTAAAAAGAATAAAGAAATAATAATAGCAGAATGTGTGGAATGAATAAATGTGAGAAGCGGTGGCGGACCCATGTGATCTCAGAGGAGCCCGACAAACTTTGAATCTTTGCCAACATTTTCTCTGCTGCTTCCTTCTTTGCTGCTTTTTTGGTGCTACCAACCCCTGAAATGCAAAAATAAGTCTCAGAAAAACAAAAATAAAGCATATACATACATACAAAAAAAAAAAAAAAAGATCAAAAGAAAATGCACCCTGTTCTGTGAGCGACTCCAATCTACATATAATAGTGAACTCTTTCCTGTGCGGCGGCCCCATTTCAGTTAAAATGATGTATTCGGGAACGCGCCATCTTTTCTGCAACGCCAGCGTCTAAAACCAAAAGGTAAAGAAAGGATGTTCAGTTTTAATAATGAATACAGACAATAAATCAATAGTTCTGATGTATGAGTTTTTGGTTTTTACATCACAGCATGCAAACATATGACATTATTGTAAATGTAATTAAGGGAATACAAAATGAATACTGAAAAATTTAAAACTCTAAGTATTACCACACTTATTTTATATGAACAAAAAGTAAGATCTATACTGCAGGGACAGGGATGGGGCAGGTGTTTGTAAGAGCAGGTAAAGGTTTGATTTTTATATCTTATATCAAAAGGCAGCTTTTATAAACGAATGTCTGGTTGCTGCGACAGAAAGTTACATCTCAGCTCAATCAAATCAGTTGAATTTGTTTCCAAAAGCAAACATGTATCAGATCCTGATGTGAAAACCTTAAAATCACAACAAAAACTAAAAAACAAGGAGTTCATCTGCTGTCTTTCTTCAGCTTCGGGGACATTGGTCGTTTTGCTTTATTAGATCTGGATTAAGTCTCACCGGGGTTACAAACAAAGCTGTGATGCTCCTGCAGCTCTGCACCGTGATTAGAGATCTTGGAAGTATGTAAACAAATCAGAGCAAAGAGAGAGAGAGCACACCTGAAGCAAGCCTACGGGGTTGTTTGGTTCTGCTACCACACCGTTCGTGTTGGACCGCCCAGGAACAACCCTGTTGGGACGACATCACAGCACAGCGGGACGCCTCAGTTATCACATCTTACAATCTTTACCGGATTAAGCATTCAGTGTAAAGGATGCTGTGATCAAGCCAAGAGTTTATAGTTACAATGTAATGTTATTAAAACAATACTGCTTTTAATCCATAAAAACTTTCATCACACAAATTTATCTTTATTTCCTGAATTTAGCTTTGATCTGCACCTTTTAGATCCAATACCCAGATGCCTAATTTTCATCCGTATTTTATTTTATTTTTTTACAATAATTTCATATTCAAATGACAAAACCCTTTATTCCTTAGATAAACACAAAACAGTTCTAGGTTTTATTAGTTGCACTCACCCACTTTCAGTGTCGATGTTTAATAATTTCAGTGCAGCCTCTGCAGCTTGTTGTTTGGCCGCCTTTTTACTTGAACCTTGACCTGCAAAACGAGGACCAGGCATTTATTATATCGTTGATATAAAATGATCATTTTCAAACCATCATTTTACTTAAAGTTAAATTTAACTTTTCACTTTATCAGGATTTTATGTTGTTCAACATCCAAAAGTAGCACATAATTGCCAAATTAAAGGAAACTGGTGCTTGATTTTGCTTTTTTACACACTGGAATCTGCAAAGCAAGGTCTGGATTGTTGTATTTAGCAGGATTGACCCTGATTAGCTGAAATAAAACCCATTGCATTCAACTGAATCAGCCTGCAAAAAAATTTTAATCTAAATAACTAACTTTTCTTCAATTTTTTTCTTGAATTGAGGAGTTTAGAGAGAGACACTTTGCCAACGGAACATGACAATTTGCATTTATAAATAAGAAAAAGCAACCGTATTGTCTTATTTCAAGTACATCATATTTAATTATCTTATTTTAAGAGTAAAAATACTCATTCTATTGGCAAATCATCTTATTTACCTACTCAAATTAAGGATAAATACATTTAAGAATTTCTAACTTATCTCTAGATCGTTTTTGCAGTGACAGAGTGCACCTGTCAGCAGCTTAATTTCAGGATAAAACCGGGTGTTGTCTGAAGATTTCAGAAGTTTGTTCAGAAATAAAAAAGGTAAAGAAATGTAAAGAAGCAGACATGTTTGACAAAGAGGACGCATCAAACACGTGGCAAAAACGGGGCACTGGTGAGATGACAACATGACTGTTGTTGTACAAACTGGGCAAGAACTGAGGTTTTACATTTAGCAGACACTGACTGAGGATGCTACTGTGCACCTGTACATTTAACTCCTCCAATGGTCACACTGAAGACAAAGCTGGGCTGGTGAGCTTCTCCTTCTGCCTTCTCCATCACAAACACAGGCAGGTCTCCACTAACCACGCCGTGTTCGAAAAGGATTTGGATCGGTGTCTTGCAGGAGCCGGTCCTCTGTGGTTCAGGTGTGTTTAGGCTGCAGGTCAAACACAGAAAATAAAACTAATGCCTCAGACTTTAAAAGTGATGCAAGGAGTAAATATGGAAGAGAAAAATTGTCAGGGCTAGAATGTTTTCATGGGATCTAAAAGGTAAAACGAATACTTCTCCATTTAATAATGTTTAATGATGTTTTTCTTCTTCCACACATTAATAGTTTATGAACATCTCAGCTTTTTTTTTAAAAAAGGTGTTTATTCCAGAGCTACAGAACTGAAAAAAAAACAAAATGCAGGAGGTCCCTCTTTAGTTCTGTTAAAAGGGAGTTCTTCCTCTCCGCTGTCGCTAAAGCATGCTTGGTGTGAGGGATTGCCTTTGAGTCAATGAATGGATGCAATCAGCTGGTTTTCCTTAGATAGAAAACTTTGAATGAGTTTGACTGGATGATCTGGCTGAATTGTCTCTATAAAGTACCTTGACATGACATGGGTTGTAAATTGCCGCTATATAAGTAAAATTAATTGAATTGAAATACTTAAAGGTGATCCCTGATGGTCCGGGCCTTCTGGTCTAAATGGTTCAGGGCTGACAAGTAATTCTGAAAGTGTTTAATACACCCTCAAAAAGATTTCAACTTTCTTTCTGTGCAAACAGGGTGCCACTGCTTTACTTTAAATTTATGCATGGCATATAAAGTGACCTGTAAATTTAGCCACAATAAAATCCACATTTGATCTTCATTTGCTCAGATTAATAATTGCAAAATGATACAAAATACTTTGGTTCTTTTTCCAAATAAAACCTGAACCAGAAGAGAGACAACCCACACTATCAATGATAGTGATAATGATTGTGTTGAATGGTGAGCTGAGATCTTGTTTGCAAAATAAGTATTCATGTTAGGGTGAAGTTTAAAAGAGAGAAAAAGAAAACAAAACACTACTTACCATCTTTCAGGGGCAGCTGGTGAAGGATATCCTTGCTCAGACATCTTTACAGGTTATGGTAGGATAAAACTGTGCTGTCTGTCCAGAATCCAGAATTTCTTTGAGTCAGGCTCTTGCTCTGTGAGACATTTCACATTATAAATACATTACTGCACAGAGTTAATAAAATGCTTGATCGCAAAAAGTCTTGTTACCCTATAAACATTTAACTATGCTTAAAACATCGAGCATGCAGATAAATAACTCCAGACATACTCACTTTGTTTGTTTAATATCTAATTTAAATTATTTAAATTTTACATTTTTTTATATATATATATATATATAATGTGGTGATATTTTGCTAAAGAGTGAAAGTGCCATTCAACAATTCAGAAAAGAAAACGCACCACCTTAGGTGGAAATAATCGTGAAATAATCGTCAACTAATTTAGTAATTGATTAATCATGAACTTGCCTTAATCTGACAGAGAAACCAGGTTTGAGAAGCAATTATATGAATATTTCAAAAAATATATGTAAATATTATGCATTTAAGATATAAATCATTGTCATGTGTCAATATGCTCTATCTAGAAGTCCTCAAGTGGAAAAGTTTTTTCCACATGGTTTGATTTCGCAAAAAGCCTTCTTTAAGAAACCTTTGGCTATAAAATTATTAACTGATTAATCAAAAAATAATAATCAGCAGATTAATCGATTTGCAAAATAATCGTTTATTGCAGCTCTACATTTAAGTTTGCTTTAGAGCTGAAGACAAAGACTGAAAATACTTTGAAGGCAAAGAAGTAATTTACTGGGTGAGAAAGATGCATTCATCACCTTAGCAGTTAAAATCCAGGATATTTAAATAGTTCCCCTTCTGCTGAGGACTAGGACTGGATGGAGCTGCACCACCAGTGCAGAGCTTGATGAACATGACATAATACCCTACTTGACACTCTGCGGTAATCATAAAAATACATTGTTCAAATGACATAAATTAATACTGCAAGCAATTCAAAGTAAAATCATATTTGATCTGTACACGTTGGGACCTGACAGCGTTAAGAAATAAATTGCAAAAATAATAATAAGTGTTCACAATTTCCCAATTTATAGAGATTTTATAAAGCATGTTGAAGCGCATCAAAAACCAAACAGAAAACGTCACAAAAAACCGAAACAAACGAGGTCTCAATTAACAGAAAGGCTTAAAACATTCCTTACTTCAGACTTTTATACAAACTTATTTCTAACGAACCTACATCTACCCTGCGGGACTTTATGAACTCTTAAAAATAAAAAGGAAATACAGTATTAAGTCAGAAAACGCAGACAGGAAGAAGCGGTGCTCTGATGCTACCTTAGATCTCCGGCTTTCTTAAAGGGCCAGCACGGCGACGATGTAGCAGAAACTAAAACCTTAATGTTTTTTCTGCTCTATTTCCGAACATTTTCCTTTATGTTCCACTATCAACGAATAAAGTGGTGCAGACCATAAAACGGAGAACTACGCAATCTTGATAGTGTGTGTGTGTGTAGGGGGGCTATGGGGGGGAATACTAACGTATCACATCCGGGTCCTCTTCTTCTTCTTTGTCAGATTGGCGGATTACAAACAATTTATAGGTGCATACCGCCACCTACTGTACTTGAGTGTGTGGCTCTCTAGTTCCACCTATTCTATTTTTTATATATATATTTTTGTGTAAAAAATAAAAAAAATTCTTTATTAACAACCGCATTTCCCCCCCTATATCCATCTGTCCCTAAAATTCCTTTAATACTCCATTCTCTCCCTTTTAACATCCGGGTCAAATGCGGTGATGCAATGTCTACCGCCCCCTGTAGGGAGAAGAATGTTATTGCTTCTATTTTGCTTTTGTTTGCTTCAATGCTAAAACAAAAGCAATTTAATTTAGAAGTCAATTTAATTCTTTTGGCCAAATTTTTCGTACATAAATGTCGATTTAAAAAAATTACCCCACCTCTAAATATTCGTATAAGTGAGATACAATCAATGATGCAATATATTGAGAATTTACTTTAAAATTCAAGAGTCCTTTTGTTTGTTTTTTTGTCTTTTTTTATTTAATTACTTTGTTCTACGATCTGTTATTTTTGTTTTCCAATTGTATATAGGTTCTCTGTATGATTCTATTTGTTATATTATACATACTCTGCTCAGCTTCCTAAGATATTAAATCTACAATTTTGTAAAATTGTTTTGATAGGCCTTGTAATAGTTTGATTCTGCAATAAAAAAAAATAAAAAAAATCCCAGAAGTAATTTACAAAAATCCATGTTGGCAATTAAAACAAATAAATTGAAGTATGAACAAAAATGAACAATATTATAAATAATAGAAAGTGAAATAAATGTTGAGATTGGAATTAGCATTTATTCCGAAAAAATTCAAAAAATATCCACTGGACTTGGTTTTCAAGATTTGAAAACCAATCGAATTAGCATTTAAGACGTTAAAAATACAGTAGCCCATTATTTGCAAATTTCATATTATTCTTGCTACAGACAGTCAAAAGAAAATGAACTGGCGGTATTCCTACGCAATTGGACCTGAGCATCTAATTGGTTAATGAACGTACCAAGCACAGAACACAAATAAATATCTAAATGAATGAATGGAAGAATAGAAATTTATTTCAATTTGACAAACAACAATAAACAATCAATAAATCAACAAAATACACTGCATATTTCTTTGGAGATCAGTTTCTTTTATAAATTTACATTCATCTAGTCCAGCAGGTTTTATTATTTAAAAAAAACTCAGAGAATACATCATTTTTCAAATCTGAGTATTTTATGGCAAAATAAAGCACATCTAGGACTTTGTAAACATTACTTGTTAACGTTGGATAAAGAACAGCATTTTTTTTTTAATATTGCAATGGGACTAAGGCAGAGGAGATGACAAACTGGAAACAACACTTCATAGGAAAATATAATTGCATTAATATGCTCATGCAATAAAAAATGTACATATATACACATTTTCAAACAGAAAAACATTATATAATGTATTATTATAGCAGTTCATCATGTCTCACGATGAACTGCTATAATAATCATGATATGATGAACTGGCAAGGTCTAAATTAATTGAAACAGTGTAAAATGGTTATGGTAAATATGGGGAACAAAGGGCAGACAGCAGGGATTCATTCATACCATTTTAAGCGTTAATGCAACAGATTTTATATGAATTCTCAAATAAAGCCACTAACAAAGTCCAGAAACTGCTTCAAACCTGTAGACTGTCAGAAGAAAAAAAAATCCCTTTTGTCAGGAAAGTCAATTGAGGAAGGGGGGAGGCCTTTTAGGGATCGGGAAGACCACTCTCTTCCGGAGCGAAAAAGATGGCTGTGGCATTTGCTTTTTCCGCTGCGTATTGTCGGTCTTCTTACTGACGTCGTTGTTCACTTCTGTGAGAATGGAGACAAGGTCGATCCCCCTGGCAAAACATTGGATACTAGATTTAGTTTAAACAATGTAAAAGTTCTGAAAATAAACAACAGTTTGAGCCAGAGCTAATTATGTATGTTTATCACAAGTCAGTTTGATATTCATAACAGTCATTAAAGGCGGATGATTCTGGTATAAAACCAATCAATAAATCATCGAACACAGATTTTATAGTTTGGCTAACACAAGCATTCAGGCTGTTAAGAGTGCTGTAAATAATACAATGGCTTTATGTAAAGCCATTATCATCTAAATGAAAGGAAATAAGCACTTCACGTGCCTCACTGTGCATAAAGTACATATTTATGAGTTTCTCCTTTTGAACCACTTTACAGAAATAAATTAACTTTTCGATGATTTTTTTTTTTTAAGATGTGCCTATAATTGATTTTAATTTCTCTCCATGAAAGAAATGATTAGCACCAGATATGTGATCATTGTTTTACTCACTTTGGCACAAGCTTGACAAGGTTCTGGCACAATGACTGGATGTACCAGGTCCCATTGCTCTTATCCCTGAAAGAGACGTAATCAGGAAGGGTGGCCATTCCCAACAGGAAGTCTGCAGCTGTTGGGATGCTCTCGTTCGCCACTCTTGCATCGCTAACAACTTCGCTGGTTTCGTCCTCAGGGCCGTCTGCCTGGATGGGCCTCAGCTCGTTTGTGCCTTGGCAAGCCTGGATGAAAAAAAGCTTTGGTTTTTCTACCAAAGAGGGGCACATCTGTCCGTAGAAGGGGGACATCATGTCCTTGATCTTAACCACTTTGCCATCTACGCCGTAGACCCCGCCCTCCGTGCCATGACTGAGAACGCAGCACACCAGGCAGTCCATCTGGCTATGGTCCTTTTTTCGGAGTTCCTGAAGCACGGAGAGAATTTTCTGTCCGTTACAGTCTTGGTGTATCTCCACATCAAAGCCCAGCCATTCAAACACTTCTTTCAGAGCATCTGAAAGGAATATAAATAAAGGAAAATTGTTAAAAACAGAGTTACTATTCAGAGTAAACAGTTTATAAAAATAAATATGCAGTTCAATTAAGATTCATAAGACCTAAACTTACCTTCATCAGCACTGGTTCCCTTTCTTTCCTTTAAAGCGACTGTGGAATGAGAGAAGTCATTGTTGTTCACTATTAAACAAATTCCTCTCTTCTTTCCAGTCATCTGATATTTTTTCAGAACCTAGAAACATAAACCCCCCCAAAAAAAAGATTAAAAACCGAAAAAAAAAAAATTTTTTTTTTTTACATAATCCATAATATTTTACACATATTCTCTATGGAAAACGGTCATAATAATACAGATGGACGTTTTCCTGGGGTTTCATTCTTTATGCTGATCTTAACATATAAACTATTAAAGGTGGAGGATTTTCTTTTTCCGGATGGATCATCAAAATAAGTGGTTCTCCTAATTGTCAATCATTCTGGTGATATGTTTAGGCCATCCCACGTGCTCGTACCCATTTTTGCTTACCAGTGGTGAGTCTGACATAGTGGAAAAAATGCTAATCTCCTTTTGGAAAGTAAGCTCGTATAAGAGATGCAAATAGCAACTTTTAAACAGAGAGTGCCCGAGGAGAAAACGGCTCAGGTACCTAGTTGTGAGCATGTGAAATTTTTTTTTTTTTTTTTTTTTTTTTTTAAGTAGAGAGGGCAGGTCTTTTCAACAATGTGCATAAAGATGATCATAAAAACAACAACTCAACGTTGTACTGCATTTTGCACTATATACATTTTTGCACTGCACTAAACCTTATTGTTGCGCTGAGTTGCTAATTGGTGGCAGCCCAGGCCAGGGCTATTGGTGTGTGCACATATAAATTGCTTTGCCTGACACTGGTGAAGGCATAAATGACACCTAGGAAGGCAGCTCTTTCCTGCAAGTTGTGTAAGAGATTTGTGCTGAATACTAGCTGCAGAGAATTTGAGGAACCATGTCAAAAAACTGAAGAGGCAGTTGGTAAGAAATCTGACCTTTATATAGGATCTTACTACTGCTGCTGTGTTTAATCTAGTCTGTAATTTGAGTGGAGTCCTCCTCATTTGATTTGTACACCTTGATTTGCTAATGGCTGCAAGACACAGCAAACCTTCTGGCAATGGCACATATTGATGTGCCATCCTGGAGGAGTTGGACTGCCGGTGCAACCTCTATAGGGTCCAGGTAGCCCCTAATGCTAACAGTAGAGACAGTGACCCTAGCCAAATGCAAAACTGGTGACAAAGAGTCAAAAAAGATGAGGAGGGGAAGAAATGTCAGTGGCCTCCACCTGTAAAACCATTCCTGTTTTGATGGTCGTCTCGTTGTTGCCCCTCTAGTGCACCTGTTGTTATTTCATTAACACCAAAGCAGCTGAAACTGATTAACACCCCCTCTGCTACTTACCTGACCAAATCAATATCCCAGAAGTTTAATTAACTTGATGCTATACTCTGATTACAAAGTGTTCCTTATTTTTTTTTAAAAGTGTATTATGGTTAAGGTTTTTACCTGACTGTTGTTACGACTGACCACAAAAAGAGGGAAATAAAAATAAAAAGAATGGAAATAGTCGACTGCTCTTTCTGAGTAAATCCAGCTTCACTCTTAAAGTCATGGCTCCACCCCTTTTCAGTGTGGGGTGCAGTTTCTGAAACACCTGACAATGACTTTTAAACTGGCTTTCTCTTCTCCTACATTGTTTACATTCTGATCACTGCTGCACTTTATATTGGTAATGTTTATCAACTCCAACTGCAATATCATTTCACCACTGTAAGCTTTATGCAATGGAATTTTGTTTTGTATACACTGTGGGTATACAAAAGAAAAGAAAGTTTGTCTAAGTCTCTAAGTCTGGTCTAAAATTGCACCACTAAGGACAAGTACAGTAAGAGAGGGAGATAAATGAAAGGAATGAAGGAAGAAGATACACAGGAGGGAGTAAAGACAAAAAGAAAAACAAAAGAAAGAAACATAGATGATATTTTAGACAATGTTACAAGGAAAACAAAGTGGAACTACTGATAATCTCATACTATAAGTTTTCCCCAAGCTAAACACAAACTTGAAAAACACCTAAATATTTCCCAGAGGACAAAAACAAAACCTTATGTTTGTTAGCATTTAGCAAAACTAAAGAATAAATAAATGTCTGTACCTCAATATTTTCCTGGGATTCAGATCTCTTGATTTCAGGAAGTGCACTGGTATCCAAAGAAGCCACAGGCTCTTTTATAAAAACAAGTAAGAAATGAAGTCAGTTTTACACAAAACAAAAAGTAAAAAAAAAACACAGAAACATATCCTGAACATCTAGAAAATATACAGGTGCTGGTCATAAAATTAGAATATCATGAAAAAGTAGATTGATTTCAGTAATTCCATTTAAAAAGTGAAACTTGTATATTATATTCATACATTACATACAAACTCATATATTTCAGATGTTTATTTTGTTTAATTTTGATGATTACAAATGACAACAAATGAAAATCTGAAATTCATCATATCAGAAAATTAGAATATTACTGAAGACCAATAAAAACAAAGGATTTATAGAAATGTTGGCCAACTGAAAAGTATGAACATGAAAAGTATGAGCATGTACAGCACTCAGTATTTAGTTGGGCCTCCTTTGGCCTGTATTACTGCAGCAATGCGGCGTGGCATGGAGTCGATCAGTCTGTGGCACTGCTCAGGTGTTATGATAGCCCAGGTTGCTCTAATAGTGGCTTTTAGCTCTTCTGAATTGTTGGGTCTGGTGTATTGCATCTTCTTCTTCACAATACCCCATAGATTTTCTATGGGGTTAAGGTCAGGAGAGTTTGCTGGCCAATTAAGAACAGGGATACCATGGTCCTTCAACCAGGTACTGGTAGCTTTGGCACTGTGTGCAGGTGCCAAGTCCTGTTGGAAAATGAAATCTGCATCTCCAAAAAGTTGGTCACCTGCAGGAAGCATGAAGTGCTCTAAAACTTCCTGGTATGTGGCTGCGTTGACCCTGGACCTCAGAAAACACAATGGACCAACACCAGCAGATGACATGGCACCCCAAACCATCACTGACTGTGGAAACTTTACACTGGACTTCAAGCAACGTGGATGAAGTGCCTCTCTTCTTTTCCTCCAGACCCTGGGACCTTGATTTCCAAAGGAAATGCAAAATTTACTTTCATCAGAGAACATGACTTTGGTCCTGTTTCTCTTTAGCCCAGGCAAGACGCTTCTGACGCTGTCTGTGGTTCAAGAGTGGCTTGACACAAGGAATGCGACAGCAGAAACCCATGTCTTTCATACGTCTGTGTGTGGTGGTTCTTGAAGCACTCACTCCAGCTGCAGTCCACTCTTTGTGAATCTCCCCCACATTTTTGAATGGGTTTTGTTTCACAATCCTCTCCAGGGTGCGGTTATCTCTCTTGCTTGTACACTTTTTTCGACCACATCTTTTCCTTCCCTTCGCCTCTCTATTAATGTGCTTGGACACTGAGCTCTGTGAACAGCCAGCCTCTTTAGCGATGACCTTTTGTGTCTTGCCCTCCTTGTGCAAGGTGTCGATGGTCGTCTTTTGGACAACTGTCAAGTCAGCAGTCTTCCCCATGATTGTGTAGCCTATAGAACTAGACTGAAAGACCATTTAAAGGCTTTTGCAGGTGGTTTGAGTTAATTAGCTGATTAGAGTGTGGCACCAGGGGCCATCAATTTTGAACCTTTTCACAATATTCTAATTTTCTGATATGATGAATTTGAGATTTTCATTTGTTGTCATTTGTAATCATCAAAATTAAACAAAATAAACATCTGAAATATATGAGTTTGTATGTAATGTATGAATATAATATACAAGTTTCACTTTTTAAATGGAATTACTGAAATCAATCTACTTTTTCATGATATTCTAATTTTATGACCAGCACCTGTAGATAAGGAGGTTCAAGTGATTCCTTTCAGTGCCTAAAACATTACATCCCCATATCATGGGGTAGCTATATTTACTAAATATAAGCTCAGAAAAACTGCTGAAAATTACTCAATTATACAGATTTAATAGAAAGATACTGGAAATATCTAAATATACAAATAAACAGATACCATTAGAGGTGTTGAAGGAATTCATTGAAGGCTGCAGGACATAAATCACATGAGGGAAAAAAAAAACTTATTCAAATATTAATCAATGATTTTATATCTTTATTTAGATGCCTAATCACTGTCCAATTATTGAATGCTTTTAGATTCTTACCAACGGATGCATTGGATCTTAAGAAGAAGAAAAAAAAAATGTTATGTAATTGCAACTAAAAGGAAAGAATATATATTTAAAAGTGCAATATGTAAATAAGCATTTTTTTCTATGCATCTCATCAAAAAACAAACTTATCTTCATTTTTGTCTGCTAAAAAAAAAAAACTTCTAAAATGTCAGAATTAGTAGAAGAAAAATTACTCATTACTTACCATTCATGTTAAATGAGCCAGTCCTGTTAAATTGTTTTAGGATCTGATAAATGGTAAAAAGTCGAGTGTTAAAACCATGGAGTTTAGCACGATAACAGAGGTTATGTCTAATATTCAGAAAAAAGGTATACCTGGTTTGGCTCAGGAGGCAAAGATGAAGACCTTGGACGACACTTATCTAAAAGAAAAGACAAAGAAACTGATACTAAAGAGAAACAAACAGTAAGAGCAGAAAAGGCTAAGATATATTCTATCCATTCATATTTTACGTAAGTTAATATGCGTTTGTGCTTTGGATGCAGAGGGTAGGAAATAGCATCTGGACAGTTAGTAAAATCTAGTAAAAGGCACAATTTTTGCAATTTCTAGTTTTTTTATTTTTTTCATTAGCCTGGGAAAAATGTTTTATTTTGATTCAAAAGACTTTCCTAAATAGATCTGGGCACACAGGCAACAACAACTACACACACAACATTGGGAAATGAGCTTCAACATTGAGGCTGGCCAAAACAGCAGCTATCCAGGCTGAGCACTCTGCCTAAAGTCTTTTTTAGATCTACAAACTTAAACCTTTATCAGGGAAGATATAATAAACCAACCTCCATGCTTCTACCTTTCTCCTGCTGATTTTCCTTCTATAGAGAGCATTAACCAATGTTCTACAGCTCAGAACACACTGGGGTTCCTCAAAGGTCCATACATTTTAATTTACCATAGATACTAAAGAACTCTCATCGGTGTGTGACAGCGGAGATATGCAATTGTATGCAGATGATAATGTTATTTATGTAGACTTAAAGCACTTCTCACATTGTCATCTATAGGAACCACCAGATCCACTGTAAGAGGCAGCACTGATGTTCCTCTTACACATTGTACATTTATTTTGACTGACAGTTTATTGAGATAGAAATTAAATATTTATTCCACCTTCACTTAAAATAATGTATCCTTGATAATCAATTTTATAACAATTTATTATGGGATTCTTTGGCATCTTTCATGTATTGCTTGTAGTGTAATTAATTCTTGCTGTGGTTTTATATTGCTTTTTTTTAAAGTATGATACTAAATTATTTAAGACTATTTTGATGGAAGAATGTTCATTTGTTTGTTTCGTATTGTATTTATATCCATGGTACCAATGTTTAGCCAGTTCATAATAATAAAAAAAATTAGCTCAAAGTTCAGTTCACATAGATGAAACTTTGTTCACAAACTTATAAATGAAGTAGTTTGAGTTCTTCGGTAAATGAAGCCACAATCCTACACAATAGAACCTCATATTTCACCCTTTAAATGTGTGATCATAATATATAGAAATAAATGTAAAATACTCAATGCAGTCAAGGTACACTGTGTGTGGAGTGAAGCCTTTATTTAGCTAAATTAAATAGAACTTTAAAATCATACAGGTACATTCAGGTCCTGCTGAAACGATCTGTATCAAAAATGCTTTGTTAAGTTCCTCATTCAGTTGCAGATATTTCCCAAGATAGCTTCAATGCTTGCTATGACTCACTTTCAACTTGAAGTGGCTAAAGTACGGACTTGTTTGTTAAAACGTTTTCTTTTTTCTTTCGTCTTTCTTTGATTGGTTAAAAAATTCCGCCAAGCGCTTTGCTAAACTGGCATCAGAAATACAAGTAGATGAGTCAGAATCGTGCAGACTAGTACTAGCAGCTGACAGTACTGGTCTGTCATGCTGTCTACCGTAATAAGTGCCGTAAAACCTGACGTTATCCATTGAAAAGTGTCGTTATCAATAGAACGTGGATGTGAGTTGTCTGCGTCGCTCATTATTCTCAGAGTGAACGTTGCCCTCGTTCACGTTCTTTACTTCAAAACTGATCATTTCAACTTTTACTAAAAATATGAACATATTTAGTAAACGCTGTTGAGGCAAAATACTGTATGGTACATTAAGGTACCTGCTAATTCTGGAATGTTCTGTTATTTGCATTGTTCAATGCAAACAGACATTTTAACATCTGAACAGATTAAAATAGTCATACTCTCAAAGAAGAATTTTTTTAAGGCAGATATCTTTACTTTTTTATGATTTGTGTGAAAACTAACTCTTGTAAATATATATATTTAAACGAGAAATTAAAATCGTCTCTCTGACTGAAGATAAACCTTCTTAGTTTCAGTTTCGCATTCCCTAAACTGCACATGTGTAAAAAGTATTTCTTATCTAATGAAAGTGAAACCATGAAGGTATCATTTACAGTCTACATCTATGATAATGAATGGCTTACCTTCTGAAAAGCGTCGAATCTTTTCATTCAACAAAGGAAACACTGATTTGAATATGTTAGCAAGATAATCAAGATTATCTTCATTTATGAGGTCCCTGCGCTCCATCTCCAGGAACACCCCCAGGGTAGTCTGAAAATGTGAGCAGGTTTAAAGCAGGATTAGGCATACAACTTTGTGATGGGTCAAAATATTTTGACTTTTTGTTACTGTCCATTACAGAGTGTCTAATTTAATGGCAAGGTGTAGAAGATGCGGATAGAAGCAGAAACCTCTGCCACACAGTAGCCTGAAGAAAGAATCACTCAACTTTTTTCTCAAGTTTTTTTCGTGGGAGGTCTTTATCCAACAGGAACTTCATCTTTTTCAGCTCTTCAGTGGTTATTTCCTCTGAAAGGTGGTACAACAGCTTCCTGAAATGAAAGAACGTAAGAGATAAGGTTCAGCCTAGAGCTCTTGAGAGGCAATAGAAAAGAGGCTATCGCAGATCTTAGACATTATAACCATCACTAATCCCAACAAACTCTGTAGCATGTTTACATCTTTGCTGCTGGCTGCATGGTTTCTCTGTTATTATTGGAAACTTCTATGAAATGTCCCATATTATTCTATATATTTTAAAATTAAAAATATTACCAATTAGGCACCCAGAGCATGTTTTTGCCACTTGTGCAGGAAATTCTCTGATTAGGCATATGGCTTTTACTAAAAATCTTTTTGGCTTTCCCATCCCATCCTCCCAAAGTCAGCGACCCCCCCAACCCACAACCATGACAGCCAGTGAGAGTTTGTAAAGATAGCCTCGGAGTATGCAATAATACATAAGACGAAAGCTGGAGCTTGGCTCACGGGCTGCTACAGAGCGCTCTGGACAGCTTATTTAAAAGCATTCTCCTGATGACGTCATCAGGGGAAGTTTTTCAATCAGAGCATTTTGAGCACACATAAAGAGGTGAAAAAAGGCAATGTGAATCTCATAAACAGGCTTTACGACTCCTATGACAGTAAAACTCAATTTTGACTTTCTAAAACTCAATTTTGTATAATATGGGACCATTAAATAATTTCATACAACATGCACAATTTATACCTTTTAAAAGTCTTCCTACCAAGTTGCACACGTGATCTGATTTGAACAACCCCCCCCCCCCCCCCCCCCCCCCCCCCCCCCCCCCCTCCAACTACACTAAGTAATTAATTCCCAGCAAGGCCTTTTGGATCTTTGGCAGGAGCATCTCTAAAGGCAGAGATTATTGGCAGTTATTTTACAGTGTATGACAATAGAAACTATAATAAAGGAGAAAAATATGTGTCTTCAACTTCTGTTCCAAACTGAAATCCATCCAATCCAATAACATGACCTAGCTAATCTGAATGTACCTGAATATACCAATCTTTTGATGAGAGAACAAGGGCAGCCCACCTGTAGGGTGAGATCTGACTAGCTGTAAACATTCGGTCAGAGATTCCCAATTCACGCAGGATAACAGGACGCTGGATGGTGAGAAGGAGTTCGATCAGGAGCTGTGGTTCTTCAGCGGACAGGCGGTCCTCGTCCATCAGCATAGTGAACAGGTCGCTTACTGATGAAACAGAGTTCGGGTTTTTGCGCAAGAGGTCAGTGCACAGAAAAGCTATTGCTTCTACTTCATCTTGGGACAGATCTTTCTCCACGCCAAGCAGCACCCTTTGGAAATCCATTTCCTATAATTGAGAAAACAAAATAAAACACAGATTTTAGTAATTTGTTTTTCAAGAATAGAGCACTCAGCCTTCACATTTTATGTAATTAATGTCGTTCCTACACTGTGCGACTTTAGCAATCATCTAAACACGATTTCATTACTTTCTTCCCATATTTGCGGCGCAGCAACATGTTGAAAAACTATCTCCCTATAACAGTATTCCCCAACCTAAATTCTGAGTTTGACAACAAATGAATCCAAAGGCTACACTAACTCAATAGTAGCAGTCAGGCTAATGCTAATTAGCTCATATTAGTGTCAGGTCTGTTGAAACAAAGACATACCAAAAAGCTGCAGGACACCGGGCCTCAACGACTGGAGTTTGAGGCCACTGTCCTGTAGGCCAAGTTCTGGTGGTTCCGTTTTCCAGAAGATTCTCACTGTGGATAAATTAAGAAGTCATTTTATACATCCTTGTATTTACTAATATTATATTTACTAATATTGTTTAATATCCATCACAGGTTGTCTTTTATCACTAGATAGGAAAAAAAGGCAATCATAGAACTACCCTTATGGTACGACATAAGACCGCAGATTTAGAGAATGAGCAAAGATTTATCCATGACTTTCCTACAACCCTCGTCATCAATCTGCCGCCTAATAATTTCTCAGTGTATATCTGCCACAGCAAACATGACGAGAGATTTTTTTTTTATTTGCCGGTTAGTTTTGGATCACTGACATGCCTTAAGACCGAATAACATCCCAGTAGCATCACTATGTTTGTAAGAATAATGCAAAGCTTCAAAAAGCTGCACTAACAAGTACAGTAAAAAAAAAAAAAATGATTTTGGAGGCTAGTTTACTAGGCAGGGAGTAGACCAGTAGACATACAAAATGGGGACTAACACGTACACCACTTCCTACGCAAATGTTGTGAACTAAAAACAAAAACAAAAACTTAAGTAGGAAAATGTGGCTATCCTGACACCCACTCAGACTCATCTGCCCAGGGTATGCCAGGAGTGAACTGGGGGAAAACGTTAAGAATATCATTTCATTAAAATTTGGTATCAGGTAATGATTGAGAACTTTACAAAAAAAACAACATTAAAAGTATTTCAATCTCAAAAAAGGAATCTTTAGACTCTTATTTACCTTTTATTGATGTAGAGTAATGTTTTGATAGATCCAGGATCAGTTCATGTACTTCAGAGGCATATCTACTATGTTGCTGACAGCTTTTAGACATGTCAGCACATGTCCAGGAGAGCAAATCTAAACTTTGTTACAACAGCTTGCTAGAATGAAAGTTCTTCCTCTGCAGATTAGTTGACTCATGTGTTTAAGAGAAGGCAAACATTCCTGATAAATATGAAGCTCAGAACATTTAAAAAAAAATAATACTTTTAAACAGATAACTAGAAAGTGTCACGGTTTAGGCTGCTCCAACTGTAAATCTCTGTTTTCTTAGCTAGAATAAATCTTAATGTAAATAACAGGATTCTAGCAGTTGTAGGGTTCATAAAGATAAACCCTGGAGAAGCAATGGGAGCTGCTATTTTAACAGATTATTCAGTGGAGAATAACCACTGCGTGGCTGCTGAATCATTCGGTTGGTTTCACTTTCAAAACAGTCAGGAGTGAAATAAAAGCAATGTCTAAAGAAACAGAGCTGATTAAACTGTAAGGAACCACACTAAGCACAGAATTAAAAGGCACCATTTTTCCCTTTTTAGATAATTTTTTATGCTTTTATAAAACAAATTTAGTAAATGTAAAGTGACAGTTTGTTTAACTAGAAGCAGGCTCTTACCTTATAAAAAATGTGTTCAGCAGAGCAGACCTTGTCAGAGACAAACTTATGACTGCTGACAATAGAGGTTGCATGAGTCCTAGGGCTGAGAGGAGGGCTTATTTACTTGATGTTCCCTCTGGGTTCACTGGTAACATTTAAGCAAAACCCTGTCGGTAATTTGCTTCCCTTCCTCATGTTTTCCTCTTCAAATGAATGGAATTTCACAGAACACTTTATTTAAGCAACTCCCATCCCAAAAACCACATGACTTATTATTCATTTTCCAATCAGCCAGTTAGATATGATCTTTTATGACGTAGTTATTAATATTTTACTATAATAAACAGTTTGTTTTAATTAGCAGTTAATTTATTCTGATAATTAAACCACCGACAACGATTAGATCAAGGCAGGAGCAGAGAAGAATACGTGAGGCACTTTTTCTACCACCCTTTTTTCCATCCACTTAACTTTTAATGTATATGCTTGGATAATCAAGAACAAACAAACAAGTGGATGATGACTGCAGGATTCCCCATCATTGTTTCAGCTATAATACTTCCATCACATGATGTTGTTCATTGTTGTTATGCAATATGCTAATTTTCTAAAACAGAAAATCTGGGATTTTCATGATCTGGAAGCCCTGATCACTATAACTATTAGAAACTTTAAAATAAATACTGAAATACATAACTGAACCAATGCTATGTAATCAAAGGGTTTATGAAAGGAGTGACCAAAAGTCTACATCTTTGTTTCCTGTGTGAGGTATTTCTGCAGTTGAGGAAATTATGCTGGTATGACAAGATCTTAGGTCCAAAGATGGTTTCATGCATTTTTGTTTTGAATGCGAGGAACATGAAGTCAAAGCCAGGAGAGATACATGACCTAAAGGAAGCTTCAACAGTCATTCCCACAAGCCTGGAGTCCAACCTGCACAGCATCAGCCTAAACTGATCTACAAATACAGGTGCTGGTCATAAAATTAGAATATCATGAAAAAGTAGATTGATTTCAGTAATTCCATTTAAAAAGTGAAACTTGTATATTATATTCATACATTACATACAAACTCATATATTTCAGATGTTTATTTTGTTTAATTTTGATGATTACAAATGACAACAAATGAAAATCTCAAATTCATCATATCAGAAAATTAGAATATTACTGAAGACCAATAAAAACAAAGGATTTATAGAAATGTTGGCCAACTGAAAAGTATGAACATGAAAAGTATGAGCATGTACAGCACTCAGTATTTAGTTGGGCCTCCTTTGGCCTGTATTACTGCAGCAATGCGGCGTGGCATGGAGTCGATCAGTCTGTGGCACTGCTCAGGTGTTATGATAGCCCAGGTTGCTCTAATAGTGGCTTTTAGCTCTTCTGAATTGTTGGGTCTGGTGTATTGCATCTTCTTCTTAACAATACCCCATAGATTTTCTATGGGGTTAAGGTCAGGAGAGTTTGCTGGCCAATTAAGAACAGGGATACCATGGTCCTTCAACCAGGTACTGGTAGCTTTGGCACTGTGTGCAGGTGCCAAGTCCTGTTGGAAAATGAAATCTGCATCTCCAAAAAGTTGGTCAGCTGCAGGAAGCATGAAGTGCTCTAAAACTTCCTGGTATGTGGCTGCGTTGACCCTGGACCTCAGAAAACACAATGGACCAACACCAGCAGATGACATGGCACCCCAAACCATCACTGACTGTGGAAACTTTACACTGGACTTCAAGCAACGTGGATGAAGTGCCTCTCTTCTTTTCCTCCAGACTCTGGGACCTTGATTTCCAAAGGAAATGCAAAATTTACTTTCATCAGAGAACATGACTTTGGACCACTCACCAGCAGTCCAGTCCTGTTTCTCTTTAGCCCAGGCAAGACGCTTCTGACGCTGTCTGTGGTTCAAGAGTGGCTTGACACAAGGAATGCGACAGCAGAAACCCATGTCTTTCATACGTCTGTGTGTGGTGGTTCTTGAAGCACTCACTCCAGCTGCAGTCCACTCTTTGTGAATCTCCCCCACATTTTTGAATGGGTTTTGTTTCACAATCCTCTCCAGGGTGCGGTTATCTCTCTTGCTTGTACACTTTTTTCGACCACATCTTTTCCTTCCCTTCGCCTCTCTATTAATGTGCTTGGACACTGAGCTCTGTGAACAGCCAGCCTGTTTAGCGATGACCTTTTGTGTCTTGCCCTCCTTGTGCAAGGTGTCGATGGTCGTCTTTTGGACAACTGTCAAGTCAGCAGTCTTCCCCATGATTGTGTAGCCTATAGAACTAGACTGAAAGACCATTTAAAGGCTTTTGCAGGTGGTTTGAGTTAATTAGCTGATTAGAGTGTGGCACCAGGGGCCATCAATTTTGAACCTTTTCACAATATTCAAATTTTCTGATATGATGAATTTGAGATTTTCATTTGTTGTCATTTGTAATCATCAAAATTAAACAAAATAAACATCTGAAATATATGAGTTTGTATGTAATGTATGAATATAATATACAAGTTTCACTTTTTAAATGGAATTACTGAAATCAATCTACTTTTTCATGATATTCTAATTTTATGACCAGCACCTGTAGATGGTGAACCTCCTTCCAACTACATTACATTTGTACCATCACCTTGAATAAAGGTGTGCTGCCCCAGAGATGAGTATCGAGGCCACCTGCTGTTCATCCTGTTCACCCATCACTGCCAGACATGACAATCATTGTCCTTATGTTTGAGAACAATTTGATTTCCAACAATCAAACAATAGCAGTTTATACTGTGATAGACATCGGATCAATATCTATAGAAAATATGCCTTATAGAACGACCTTTAGTTTTACTGAAGTCTGATCCAGAACTGCACAGCTTTCAAGATAATGTAAGCAGAGGCAAGGATTTAGCTTCTTAACAGCTAAACATGATTGGTAGTAGTCCCAACCTCTTTTCAAAAGTTAAAGGTTTAGGGCTAGGGAATTAATAGCATTTGGAATATAAAAGAAAATTAGCTAAACATAATTTTCAAAATGCAGAGGCACTCAGTTTTAATCACGTTGCAAGAGCAAAACTCCACATTTCTCCCTCCAGCCCTTTAGGTGACAGTAATACGCTGAAAGTGGGTTTTCTCCCACACAGAAGGGATGAAAGTTGCAGCTGGCATGCAGATCTGTGCATGGGAGGAGAAGTAAGAAACTTTTCGATAAAATGTTACAGTAAAGTCCTGCAACAATGGACTCTAGAAAAGCAGCTTTCGAGGTCATGGTTGAAAATATTTGTAATTATGATTTTTGGAGAATTGTTAAGCCCTGTTTAAAGGTTATGTTTTAATAGAGTAAGGGTTACACTAATAATTTTGCCTTTTTATTTTCCCCACCATCATTTCAAATAGGTCAAAAATACACAGGCTACCTTTTTCTCCACCAAAACTCCTGAAAAGCAGGAAACTGAGAAGACTTTGGAGGATGTTAGTGTCCAGAAGTCCGACTCATACCACCATTTACGATGAAGCACGGGAGAGGGCCACATCATGAGGACCTCTCCTCACATCCGTTGAGGAGACTAGAAAAGCGTGATTTACCTGAAAACCCACTCCTACTTTTGCCTCGTGGAGAGCATCCTGACTACAGGCCTTTTACATAGGAGGCAAAAAGAGGATCAGAAGTTCATAAAAGCAACATAGAAGGTCTGACCTACAGGCAATCAGACATCTTTGAGACCAAAGTGCTTCCCTGTAAATATGCTGGAGACACACCTTTAACAGCCTCCCACCCACCAGAGAGTCAATAACTAGATATATAGAAAACAACAATATCACAAAAGAAGTAATTTAAAGGTATTGCGGAGGATTTTTTTTGCGATTTTTTAAAAATACCCGCCCTCACCACTTAAAAAAAATGGACATGCACAACCCTGTACCCGCTTCAGAGAGGGAACGCCTATTAAACGCGTGCAAGAGCATGCACAAGCTCATTTCTCCTCTGTTCAAAGGCTGTTCTCATAGCTCATACAAGCTTACTGCAACAAACTGCTGTAAGAGTATAACCAGGAAGTGAGGAAGTAAGTAAGTAAGTAAACTTTATTTCTATAGCACTTTTCACAGACCAGGGTCACAAAGTGCTGCACAAATTTATAAAAAGTTTCTATAAATTAAAACAACATACAAAAACAGTAAACACAGTATTAAACTAAAAAACGAGTTTAAAAAAGTGGGTCTTTAGTTGTTTCTTAAAAGTGTCTATACAAACAAGAGAACGAATGGTAAAAGGTAGCTCATTCCAGAGGCGAGGCGCCACAGCAAGGAGGGGAGGGAGAATTACACCCAGGAGCAAATGGATAAAAATAGACCGGAGAAAAAAAAAAACATGAATCGATACTCTTGCAGACGTATCGATGCATCTGCTCGTCGGCTGTTGGATCGATACATCGATACAAAACGATTATTATTTACACCCCTAATACTGATCTCAGTTAACTTACCGTTCGGTCAGATGATCACAACTTTTTGCTCCCTGTTGGTCAAGTAACTCCTCCCACACCGCGCGGTGCCTGCGCAAACTTTGTTATGAGTCGCTGTAACAGCAAATCCTATAATGCTTTGCGAGGAGAGCTCTACACACAAAACCTTCTGGATATATCTGCTTCTTCTGAGGCCTTTCTTTTCTTCTCATACACTTCGTGGAAACTTTTTTTCTTAAGACCTCAAATGGAAGCTGTTTTTTTTACAGACAACTGTTGAATTGTGCTGCTTTTATATTGATTCTGTTATACTGAATAAAATACATTGATCTACTGCCATTATTGAAGGAAAGAGGCAAAAAATCTCCTCTCTTTCAAGTGTTTGGCGCTTCAGTCTGACCACCAAGATGACATTCTGATCAGAAACACTGCAGCTGATGTCAGATCGCAGGTACCATCAGAATTAGTCATACAGAAACATCGAGACAGTAAACAGCCTCTGACTAAACCAGGTTACATCACAGCTGACATGGGGATATGTGCAATTCATCTCTTTTATCAATACTTTGTTCTACTGTTAATACTTGTATAGTTTTTGATCGTTTTACTATTTATTACAGTTTTTAATCCCACTTTTTCCCCATTTGCAACAGCTTTAGAGCAGTCCATAGCATGTATACACAAAGGCCAGAAGGCTGGGGCCCTGCCTTATTCTCATTTATTAATAATATATATATATTTCAATGGTATTTGCAACTCTTGTTTATTTCATGTTTAAGTCTGGAACCAGCAAAGAAAATATATGGAGCAGATTATTTAGCTACATGAGTTTTCAGACAGATTAACAGATTAAGTGTCCTGTAACTTTAAAGACCAGATGAGACTAAACCAGCAGAACCAAGTTTAGGATAACTGGAAACTGATTAAACAGGAAAAAAAGGTAGTTTCGAGTTTATTACACTAAACATGTTGTTATGTTTATACTAAAAGGTTACTTTTAAAAGCAGAAATATTCCCAATAATTTAAGCCACAGACTGCTCTTCTTTTGTTTATAAAAGGCCTAATTTATGAGAGGAACGCTGTTTTACTCACAAATAAAGATAGCTATTTAATTCTGTCATTTTACGAATGACTGTCTATAGAAACACACATTTAATTAGAACAAAAATAGAAAAAGAACGAGAAGGATAAAACTTTTACAGTAAGTTTGGTCAGCTTCACAGAGAGACGCGTAGGTTTGTTTTCCTTTATCTAAATATTCTCTATTTGGCTCGAGCTAAATCTGTCAGCCTTTAAAACTTTTATTCATTTATTTCCACACACCCCACCCCCCTCTCCCAATAGTGACAGATATAAATAGCTCCGTAACCGGCCGGTAAAAGACAAAACGACATTTTCACAGACGGACAGTCAGGCTAAGTTTGTACCGAAGATCTAATAAAAAGCAGCCATACCTGTTTGGACACCAATTGTTTCCTCGTCTGTCAGAAAAAGTTGGTTTTCGTTCACATCAGCATAATGTCAGAGCTCCGAACCGATGGAAGAGAGACATACGAACTAAATAAGCAAACTTTCCCAGAAGCCAGTCTGCAACCTTGCGTCAGTTAGGCTGAAGCCAGCCGGAAGTGGAAAGTAAAAGGAAAAGAGAGATAACTTATAAACATAATCATTCAGCTGCGCCCTCTGCTGTATTAAATATGTTGTTACAAGTCTCCGTTCTATAACGAGCTCCTGTAAAGTCTAATCCTGCCATAATTAAAAATACAGAAATAAATAAATGCACCAAAAATAAATAAGCATAAAATTAATTTTAGGTAGAAGTCAAGTTATACAGTGAAACATAAATATATGTATCTCTTTTAATTAGCTTTTAATTACTTATTTCTTTAAGTATTTATGTATGTGCATGTTATGTGCATAATATTTTTGTCTGGTTTATTCTTCCTTTGTATTTTTTTTGTGAGCTCCGGGGCTGCTCGGGGAACCCCAGCGGATGTTCCCTGACCAGCTAATTAAAAGATATATATAGATATTTATGTCTCACTGAATAATTAAGTTTCTACCTACATTTATTTGTTATTGTATTTGGGGGGGGGGGGGGGGGGAGCAATTAAATGTATGCTTAATTCTTTATTTTTGGAGCATTTTTTTATTTCTGTTTTTATTTTTAATTATGGCAGGATTGGTCCTCCATATTAAAGAGCCCCATTTATAAGAAATAATCATTTAAATAGATACCTTTGACAAAAAATGTTCTAAAATAAGTTATTTATTCACATTGCTCTTTCACTTCCTATCTTGTATGTAAGTCAACACTGTGACTCTGCTTTATCTCATCTAATCATAGAATTATTGAACTTTCTTTGTATGTTATGATATAAACAGAGGCGGGCAGTAACTAGTTAGATCTAGTAGATCTTTTTACTTATACATCAATTATATTAGTTAGATATATGCTTATTTTCCCCATTCAAAGCAGGTTCACTGAAAGGAGAGATCGATTCTTTTTTTTAAATGCACAAATATATATATATATATATATATATATATATATATATATATATATATATATATATATATATATATATATATATATATATAAACACCTGCCCATATTTAATTCCACCTAAAATAGCTGGAATCATACATAGTATTATCATATCAACATGCATTTTGAAGGAAGTTTACTCTTTTTAAACCTCCTTGACAGCTGAAGTGAGAGTAAACAGTATGAGATCATAAGACCTTTCTTAGGTCTTGAGAAAAAAAATAGTAGCAGCTCATAAGCATAGTAACGGATTTAAAGAGATCTCAAATGATATGACCGTGATAAGTCAAAACTGAAAAGAGGCTCAGATCCCAGGAATAACTGTAAAAGTAGACTGCAATATACGAAAAAGGCACCTAAGATACACAAATATCTCATAATAAACATCTTAATGTAGTTAATATGAAAAAGCTCTACCTCTATAATAATCTGAGACTTCACAGAGGAAAATCTTTGCTCTCTATGAAACATGAAAGCCTGACTTAAGTTTGCCACTGGACACCAGTTTTTTCTGGGCACATTCAACCTGTAGGAGACCCTGAGGAAAACCCAGAACTCACTGGAGGGACTAAATATCCGCTTTCCCTACGGTTATGTGTGATGATGTCAGAGGGGAGTCCTGTTGTCCTCATAATCTCCTTCTCTGCTTCTGCTCTAAATTAGAAAACTGTTAAAGTTTTAAGAAGTCGTTATCAGCAAAGCACAGACAAACCACCCTATAATAAATTTTAATAAAACATCAATATCATTATTATTGTGGTATATATAGTACATTTCTGATATTTGAACATATAGTTTACCAGAAATGAACAAGCAAAGTTGATTTTTTGTTATTTTTTCCTTAGCAAATCAAAATCCTTCACCCTTTTACACATGACAGCCTAAATTTGAACAAAATAAAATCTAATCTTTTATCAAGACATATTTACAGTATATATATGTACACACATTTACATGAAAAAAGGGGATATTAATTGTGATATTGAGTGTGATATTGAGAAAACTATGAGGTAAATTGTGATGCACTGCGGGTCTCCTTTAACTGCAGGCAGGGGTAACACAAAGATGGGGTGAAGTAAAGACATAGATTTTCCAGCAAACATATCCAAACATTTGTGATGGGTTTTATTTGGGTTCAGTCCTCAGGGTCTTGATGTGTCCCCTGCGTCTCACTCTGACAGTAAGCTTTGTCCAGGAGTTTTCTTTCGAGCTGTTGAACCTAAAGGACTCTGTGAGGGATAAACACAGTAAGAGTAAAAGCTGCAACAGGCATCAATATAAATGTTTTTATACTAACACATTCACAGAAATAAATTACTTGTTCCCCAAAGAGAGATTCATATTCTCAATAGTTCTAGCTTCATGTTAAGTTAATGAAAACTGAAAAACTTAAATGCAGGTATAAATCCTGGGAGAACCACGAGTCATTAAGGAAGGTGTTATTTATAGACACATGGAAAGTCCCAAAATATTATCCCTAATTAGGAGTCCAGAGGGATTTCTAGGTGGACTTCCAACACCTTTATGGCATTCAAGTTTCATTCTACAGGAAAAACAAGATGCTCAGTCATATGGGATGGGTTTTTCTTTTTTCCAAATTTGTTGCAAAATTTGTTGGAATTACGGCTAGATCCAAAACTGTCTGTCTGTCTATACAAGGAATTATATGAAATAATTGTCAGAAAATTTTCATTTTTTAAAAGATTCTGACAAATAATATAAATTAAGAAAACATCAAATTGTTGATAACTCAAATTCAATGAATTATTTGTATACATTTCGATACATAAAGCATTTTTGTACACATTTATCCTATGTTTTTTGTACACTACATCTGTCTGAATGTTTCAGTCAGCTTCTACAAGAAAGGAAATCACACCGATGATGTAGAGGTCTCAAAACCCATGCATTAAATACATACTTAGTGTTATAGGATTTGTCAATCTTCATTTTTTATTAAAATAAGTCATATTTAATTAATAATATAATACAATAACCTATCTATCTATCTATCTATCTATCTATCTATCTATCTATCTATCTATCTATCTATCTATCTATCTATCTATCTATCTATCTATCTATCTATCTATCTATATGAATATATATTAAGAGTTGAAAAATGTGCAATAATATAGATTAATTAATATACTTTGCTCTTATAAATGATCTTTTGTCACTTTAAGTCTTTGCATATAATTTCTAAATTGTCCCTTTTAAAAGTGTGGAGCTTTGAAAATAAATTGTATTTTATTAATTATAAAAGGGTGTTAAAATGTTCTATATGAAAATCTTTTAGTTTTTTCTTTTCTTTTCTTTAACTATACTTTCTAAAACCTTTTCAAATGAGGCTATAAGAAAGGAGCACGCTTACTGTCAGTAATGACGGAGCGCTCAGAGGTGACGTGTCTCCTGCCCAGGCCGTGGCTCCTGGACATCACACAGTCCGCATAGATCCCCCAAAACACCCGGGCCAGGTCCCAGAACAGCGCCGCGTGTTTCCCGTTCTCTGAGGACCGGAGGGTCCCCATGAGGTCCCAGAAGGCGGGCACCGAGTCGGCTATTCTCGGAGAGCGCATCTCCAGCAGCAGAGAGGAAGAGGAGTCCCAGCACTGCGGGTCAGCCCGGTGGGCCGTCAGCGGGTCCACCTGCGGAGGCTTGTGGCCCCGCAGCGGTACCGCTGACATGCAGGCCAGAACAAACACTGTGGCTGGGGTTAGGTGAAACAGAACCGGGATCATCTCCACTGGAAGATAAACTGGCACCTGTCGGATGTTTTTTTTTTTTTTTTTTTTTTTTTTTTTTCTGTAGAAATAAGTTAGAAAGAAGTTAAAAATTAAAAATAAATAAAATCTATGAATGAAAATTATTAATAATAAATTTAAAGCTAAAAAACAGCGCTTGTGCTTCTTCTTTTTTAATAATGTGCCATAAAATACCATTTCTAAAGCAAACCAACCATTTTTTTCCCAATAAAAAAGTACTTACCACCTCTGCTGGCTTAACAGCCTGGGCTTTGGCGTTAATGGGAGTTTGACAAATACCTGTATTAGTCTTAAATGACGTCACTACCTCCCTCCTCTGCAAAAAGCAGCTTCTTGTGTTATTATTGTTTTTACTTTAATAAGTAGTTTTGTCTGCCATAGATTTTTTTCAAACATTAAAACGTTTATGGAAGACAAAAAAAAGATCACCTATATAAAAAAGCATGGAAATATAAACTGCAGTCTACATAGCGCTAAATTGTCTGGTTGGATTGATGGATATGTGACAATAAACTCATCCCTGGGATTATAAACAATGGGATTATCAACATCCCACGTTCGTAAAAGTTGACTTTAATTAAACCATATTTAGCCATTGTCTGCCTCCCATTATAAAAACCACATCTTTGTAATTGGCACTGTGTTTATTAAGAGCCTTACAGCAAGATTTTGCTTAACGTAAACCAAGAAACCAAGGCATCTGCAGAAAACATAAGTAGTCTAACCTTATAAATTGCTCTGCCCTGCCGTCTGTAAAACAAACTATTTTCAAAATAGTGTTCAGAAAGTGGCAGATTTGGTTTTATATGCTTTTACTGAAATGTCACATGCATACCTCATCTCCAATGTAATTATTGTCACAGTGAGGGGCCGACAGTAAATGTACTGAATGGATGTCTTACTCATTCATTCAATTCCTCTGATGATGCATAGAAGTTGGCTTCACAGCATTTCCACTGCTACGGATGAATTAGAACTTTTAAACCAGGGACATATTATGCCGAAAAAACAAACATGATGTTAAAAAGCATAAAGGAAGCAACAAGAACCTTATTTTCTGTACTTTTTTTTATCATTCCCATTGGACTATTTCCATGCCAATTACATAGGGAAAAAAAATAAAACATTTTTTATATTAAATTATCAGAAGCTGAAACTATCCGTCACACTAAGGTGGAAAATTGAAAAAAAAAAGTGATCAGAGAAATGAATGTGGATGATTTTGTGATTTTTTTTATGGAGGGATATATGACAAAAAGGTGCATTGGTTAAAAAAAACCTATATGCATGGGTTTAATATGATTCTGTATTTGTTCTTCTGAGTCTGTTTTTGAGTTAAATTTTTTTTTCCAATATATTCATATAACCCAGTTATATTTGCTCAGAGTTCTCTCAGAAAATTCATTTATACCACAAACTTTTTTGCAGGGATCGTTCTGGCTAAATTCTGGCTGAGCTTTTAACCTTCTTCTTGAAAACAAGGGTCATTTATTGGCTATTTGATTAATTTTGTGCCAAGAACCTGTCTTATAATAACAGTCTCCAATTTTGTATTAGGAATGCCTGTGGAGCTTTGAAAAGTAAGTCCTAAAAGCCTAATATTAGCCAGCATTATCCGTACCAAAACAATTTCCACTATTGAGTGGAAGCTACCAACTTTCAGATAATGATTGAACTTTATTGATCTTACAATGGAGAAATTTATCTCTGCATTTAATCCAATCCTTCGGGAGCAGTGGGCTGCCATCGTGGGGCACACCGAGGAGCAGTGTGGGGTTTAGGGTCTTTGCTCAGAGACCCAGAGTGGCAATCTGTGGGAGTGGGGTTTGAACTCAGAACCTCAGGATTCCAAGCTCTGCCCTAACCACTAGGCCACCACTCCTCAACTAGCTGCTGGTTTTGGGAAAAGGTGAAGAATTAGTATGTATTCCTTTTTTTTACTATTATTCCATCCACTCCATGCAATAGACCAGTAACTGGCAGCAAAACCAGTGACCAACAGCCCAGATTTCTTAAAGCTTTGAAAAGGTTAAAAAATGTTCCTTAATATTATAGTTTAATCTTTATATTCTGTAACCATAAAATATTATTTATTTAGGAGGTATTTAAAATAACATCACTTATAGCAGCTAATTAACTATTCGCCTGAATAGTAAATCATTATATGTTTAACTGATGCAAGATATGAGAACATTAAATAATAATAAATGCAGTGATTGAGTTTTTCTTTTCAGATTTACATGTCTTTCATGTAATAATAACACAACATTTCAATGTTGTGTTATTATTGAAGATCTCCCAGCAGGGAGCCAGGAGTTTTTGTATTTAGAGCATAAACAGGTTATTGTCCTCATCCCATATCGAATAACTAAGTCCTGTGACACTAAATGGCAATAATTAAATACGATCTGCTCATCCTGACTCTGCATGTTTTTAACATTTCTTTAGCTGCAGCTTAAGCAGACTGAAGATTCTTAAGTATCAAACTGACCATTAATCCCAGTTGTATTCTAGATTCATTAGCTATTGTCTTCATTATCATTATTATTGATTTTTGTTGTTGTTCTATTTTTAAAATAATTCACACAATCATTATGAGGTATGAAATCCATTATATTATTTGGGTGATTACAATATTGGGTTTAAAAACTGAAGAAACAAAGGAGTAATTTCTGCTGGAAAATTATTACAAATAGATAAATAATGAGTATTTTCTTGCTGAGTTAAGATAAATGTTTTAAATTTATTGTCTTTAGACAGGAAAGCCTTAAACCCATGTTTTATTAATGAGTATATTTTCATTGAGTTACAGGAGTGGGGGATGTGAAGCTCCCTTTACTCCCCTCTGATTTGGTTTTCCTTAAGGCTCAGCTTTACTGCCTCTTTTTTCTATTTATTCCGTTCTTCTATTGGGTGTCACATTTTGCTGGTCTGCAGATTACAGTTGTGGCGTGCTCCAAAAAAAGAGGGGGCTCCATACTGCACCATTCTAAAATATATAATGAAAAAAGACAGAACATTAAATAGGTCTAAATTTTCAGAATTTGTTGAAAGTGAGACAAAATATTGTTTTTAGTTGCACAGTTTAGACTCTGCATGTGGATATAGGTTCCCTGACTCAGAGAATATCACCACAAACCTTATAGTTAAAGTGGATGCAGTTATTTAATCTGATTAGGATCAGGGCTGTTTGTCAGAACAAACTTTAAGGCAGCATGAAAGTCGCTTCCAAAGAGAAACTTTGAGCAGTAAACCACAACTTTAAATGCATTTTCAACTTCATATTTATATTTTAGAAATGCAGTGCAGTCCAACAACCAGGAACCAATTCTACACTGATTCTAAAAATACCTTTAAAACCTGTCATAGTCATTCCAAAAAAGTAAAAAAAAAGTTAACAAACAAACCACTGGACCTTTTTTCCAAGTTTGAAGACGTTTTACTACCCATCCAGGAAGCTTTTTCAATTCAAAATGTCTGTAGCCCAACAAACTTATAAAACTTGTTAAAGTTCCAACTGGTGATGCCTTTTAGTAAATGATGTTAATTTTTCTTTATAGATTTGACTCCGTTTGATTGTTGAAAAGGTTATAAAGACTAATGCTACATTGGTTCAGAAGCTTAAAAAAATTAGTATGTATTAATGTATCAGTAATGCTTACAGAGGTTGTATATTGATGGTTTTATTGTAAATTCATCAACTATTTAATTTGGGTCACAGATTTTACCAAAACATTTAGCTAAGAATTGAATGCATACTGTACGTTAGATCAGTAGACTATTAGCTATTTTAATTTATAATATGTGGTACCAAGCAGTGATTTGATTTATTAACTTAAATAGATTTCTTAACTTAGAAAATGTATAAAAAAAAAAAAGAAAAAAAAAAACTTTGAGTATTTAAAGTGTTTATTTATGCTAATTCCAACAGCTCAAACCGGTTCGGTAGCTGAGTTAGTTTACCCTGTGGCAGCCGCTTTTAATGAGCAAAGCATCTTATCCAGAGTTATCAAGAAAAAAATGACATGCCACCATATCGGAATGGATTTTAAAAGCTTCTTTATTAAGATTTTATGTAAGAAAAAAAAACAAACATTATTTTTAACACTATCAAATGATCAGAAAACAAATATTGTAAATATGTTAGAAAATAACTAATATAAAATACAACTTTACAAAGCGGTCCTAAAACGTCTCTTTCACCAGTTAACACATAGATAAATTCAGTGGTGTCAAAAGTACACACATTTTTTACTTAAGTAGAAGTATAGATACTGCAGTTTAAAAACACTCTGGTAAAAGTCAAAGTATCGACTTGACCTCTTTACTTAAGTAAACGTGAAAAGGTATGTGCTCCAAAAACTACTTAAAGTATAAAAGTACAAAGTAACCTTTAAAAAAACAGCCAGATGTGCCTATATGAACCGAAAGCTAAACTTTTTAACTATTTTGAAAAATTCTTAGAGATAGGACCAAGGATGAGGGAGGTCTTATTGGTCTCCATCTCCCAATACATTCTTGCTTGTGTCTGACCTTTGAGACATTTCAACATCTTTTTCTGAATCCAACCTCGTAGCATGGCATAGACAATTCGCATTTGCAGTTAGAACACCTGCTTGCTTCTGATGATTACCTTTATCTAACCAATGAGTGTTTGCGTTATAGGACTCATCCAATTACACTAGTTTTCACTAGATGTGGATGGCGCACGTGACGTGAAATAATTATTTATAAACACTAAACTGAAGACAAGAGTAACGATTAACGTTTGTTTTACAAATGTAAGGAATAAAAAGTACAGATACTTGTGTGAAAATGTAATAAGTAGAAGTCAGAAGCAGGAAGAAAAATAATTAATGAAGTAAAGCATAGATACGTAAAAAGTGTACTTAAGTACTGTAATGAAGTATTTGTACTTCATTACTTGCCACCTCTGGATAAATTACACTGAAACAGATGTTTGCAAATGTTTATGTCAACATCAACCACATACACACACAAAAAACAACAGCTCGGTTAAAATTTGTCAGTAGTTTATTAATGGATCCAACTGTACATGATGCATTGAGAGAGGGACAGAAGACGATGAGTAACATAGAAGGGTCACAATAATGCCGGTGCTTCTGGAAGCACCTGGAACACACCAACAACAGCTGTTCTTAAAACCATGATGGTCCTGCATGATGAAACTGTTCGGGCCTCGTTACGCACAGGCTCCATGCAGTCTGCTTGTCTGTGAGTGGGTGGTTAAAAAAATTTAAACGGTTTTGGGGGAAAAAACCACACACACACACATAAGAAATGACTTACATTTTCACAAATGTAAAAGGGTGCTCTCTCGCTTTATGCTAGAAATATGGACTTTGATATTTTTAAAAGTTGTTTTTAATATTTTGTTTTTGCTCACCCTGTTTAAAGCAAACGAAACAAGATGTTTCAGAGGCCAAATAGAAAAAAGTAATCCGCTTTTTTATGCAATTCCAAGTCTACATTGATGTCACTATTACCCATACTCTTTGTGCAATATCTCTCTTTGCATAGTAAATAAAAGTTAAATGTTCAGGTTGTTGACATGCTCCTATCTCTTGTAGCATATTTTTCTTGCAGATTTTTTTTTTTAGGGGACTCCCATATAGATTTATAAGCCCACTACAGTGATTGCTAGCATGCAGCTTCTTTAGAAGAGCCAAACTTGATTCCTACTCAGGAGTTTATGAGAGCAAAAGGGACTAATGCCAGTAAGGTGGGTGCTGATGATGACCTGGCTGGAAAGGCAAAGGCCTGCTGCATGGATGGACTTCATGCCCTTACCAGTGGGGGCGGGGGAGGCACCACTGGCTGCAGACAGAGGGGGAAGGAAAGTGCTCTGTGTGCAACAACATCCATCTGTTCAGGTGATTAATTCTTTGGCTTCTGAGTCACCGTTAGCAAATTTTCATGGGGGGGGAGATCTTGCTAGAGGAGACTAGTCTGGATCCCTCTAAATCTGACATGTTTCTCCTCCGTCTGACCTAAATCAAACAAGCCTGTCTTCTGTTTTTGTTTAGTTATGTCTGCTGTAAAAAGATGCCAAGATAAAAAGAAAAATAAAGCAGCTAAGGTCATCATGAAACAAGCAGTTGATTAGTAATACCACCTCCCTATCAGTGTGCATTTTCATGTGGGCCTGTTCCTTTATTGGTCTGCATTGTCCTCACATGCAGAACCTTAAACAGGAAATTAAGTTTAAACTGTTTTTTTTTCCAGCATTTGGTTTTTAACCAGGCTTTCTCCTGCAAAAAATAAGTCCTTTTTTTGTCTTTGTATGTTTTTCTATGCGCCATATGAATAGCTTTGTTAGCCATGCCGAGCCCTAAGGAGAGGGCTTTTCATGCCAAGGAGGGCCAGCAAGCAGCACACCTTGTGTGTAGTAACATCATGCAAGGTGAGAAGATGGGGATTCCACCTGAACGCCTGTGCACTGGCACTAAAAGGAAAAAGGGAAGGGAGGTACATGTGGAGTTAAAAAGGCTGCGTTTTTTTTATGTCACTACAATGAGATTTATTTATTTTTCTTAAATGTCCACTATGTCTTTTTCAAGTAAATCTAATGCCAAAAAAGTCAGCAGCAGTAAGTGCAGTCCAGCTGTCAAGTAGCCAACCTAGGAAGTCTCGGAGGAGTCCGTCCACAACAGCCACCTCTCCTCGAGTTAAATGGCCTGGGCATTGGGGTCGTAACGCCGCTTCTTCACATTTCTTATATGGAGATAAAAAAGAATAGCAGTCAGTGACATCTACAAGCATTTCTGCAACACATTTAGTGCAACGTGGACATGCAGCCTCACTGGACTCTGCAGCTTACAGAGGTGCAGATGTTAAATTGAAAAGAGGATTTTGGTACGTTATGATAAAGAGTGATGAATGAAAGTGTTCCCAGCAAGCACTGTTACAGAATAGAAGTCAGGAGAGGCTTGTCCATGTTGACCAGGTCAGCCTTGTCTGCAAGCGGACAGAAGTATTTATAGTCCCAAACCTTGAAGTCTCAATTTATGGTGAGGGAAGGACAGTGGCTTACATAAAACCAATGGTATTCATACCTCGTATTCTATTCCCCATCAAGTTAAGTTTGAACAGAGATAATTAATGGATTAAGGCCCTAAAAACACAGCCAGAGCTACATTGTGATGTTATAAATCAATTTGCAATAACACGAATGTTTGTAATGTATATTTACATTGGAGTTAGTCTTCCTTTCTCAACACAACTCATCTGGATCAACTGCTTCCAGTCATCGGTGACAGATTATTTGGGCCTTTGGTGAGAGGTCACCTGATTGTGTTCTGATTGCCTGATCCTGACCTGTTCTGCCTCTGGACCTCTGAACCTGCCTGTTCCTGTTCTGATCTGTTTGTCTGACCTGTCTTCGGACCCCTGGTGGATTTTGCCTGTTGACCGAAACTGGATCTGCTTCATGACACTGACATGAATTTCCCTTCTGTGCGTCTTCAGATCTCTGATCTTCTGTGAACCTCTTTGACACCGGCTTTAGCCTCACCCTTTAATTGCCCTGCCTTCCTTTGTCTGCCTGGATCTGTCCTCATTCCAGTTCTGCAGTCTTCAAGGCTTCAGCGTCTGGAACTCTCTGGGCAGTGTTCGCTGCGTGATGTTGGCAGCTGTTCAGCTGGAATCTACCTCTTCCTCTGGACACGGACAGAACTTTAAGACCAGTTTAGTGACTCACACATTGGTAATCATCCTCCGTAAGATTAAATTGGTCACTAGGCTAAGTTTTCCCCGTGCAGAGGTTCCTGTCTGAGACGTCTTTACGTTACTGCAGATCCGCCATTTTTTAATAAAGTCTTTTTGAGAAATCTGCCTGCCTTGATTACTGGGTCTTCTGTTCTGAGCCTTGACAGATTCAACTCTTAATCTTGGACTTTCTGCATGTATTTTTTCTTTTTATCGTCTGATTATTATCCTGCCAGGTTACTGAGACTAAAGTTTACTAGTGCCAAAAATGACTCAAAGATGAAGCAGTACAGCTGCTTTCTATCCAGTCTGACTCAGACTCAAATATTTGCTAATTTTTTAGATTTCAAGTGTAAAAACCAGTATTTTTTTTTCCTTTTAGCTATTAATGTGTATGAATAGTTTTTTCAAAAAACTGTGTTGTAATGTACCATACACTGAAGACTTTAAATCCTAAACCCTCAGCCATAATCTCTGACTGTTTAAATGTTGTTCTCTGAGATGTTGTTGACTCTCGCTTTCAAAGGCAACAGTAAAAATAATTTATGATGGTTTTTGAATATGAACATCTTCTGTTCTACATTTTCTTTTTTTGCAGACAAGTACTGACCCGTTTATTCGTGCAACATCAGTTTCCACAATACCGTGTGGGAGACTCTTTACCAGTTTAGATGGGTAAGACATTGTTCCACTCTAAACAAAACCATCTAGGAGGAAGAAACTAACATTAAATATACTCTATGGAGGAGGGAGAGAGGAGACAAGCACAATAACGAGGATGACAGCGGCAGAAGCAGCAACAATAACTACTACCAAATAACGGTGGGACAACACTGAGCACGACAACAGGAGTAATGCATAACCTCCCCGTACTGTGGCTTGCTGTGGGGCTTCTATCATCCTGTCATGCACCTTTTTCCAATAGTGAGCCAGCTCAGGGTGGCACTATTGCTGTGCGTTGTTCATGCAGTGCAGTGCGCCGTGTCTGTACCAGGTCTGTGAAGCAGGCAGCAATGGCAGCTGGTGTGGTCGGGTCCGAGCCTGGCCATCCACGTGGGTGTGGCCAGCCATGCCACAAAGGCTGCAGGCAACAAAAATGGTCCTGGCTTATCGCTCTTTGTGTATCTCTGTGTCTGTGCTGTCGCTCTCACCACTCCATTTAAAAGGCACAGCCTCAACGCAGTAACGGGTTGGGAGAAAAATCAAGGAAGTGATGAGAGGACGACAAAGTCGAGACCAGATCGATGTGCAGTTTCGCTCAGCCTTTGTGCAATGAGCTGACCTCCTCCAAATTAGCAAGTCAACATGCAGAAAGAGTGCTTGGACTTTTTTTTTAATCTTGTTTTTCACTTGTCTGGTGCTCTCTTAAACTGATAATCATGATGCTTTGCTATTTTGCATGCTTTCGTGGCTGCAGAACTCTGTTTCTAATTTAGTTGTTTGGTTTAGTTAGATTAAAGTCTGTAACACCCCTTCTGCTCAAGACAGCAGGTTAATTATCTTTAGACTGGAACTTACATCTTTGACTTTATTCAATAATTAAAAGTGCTGTTTTTCCTCACTGAACATGCACATCAAGCACTGATATTTGCCTGTCCAATTAGTTTGAGGTTCTGCTACAAATGCACAGACCTCCTGGAGCTTTTTGCAATAAACTCTTATATTTGAAGGCATTATAAATAACATCCACTGCACTTTGCTTAAGCACACGCTCCTTGCAAATGCATCTTGCATGCTTTCTTTGATTTTAGAACCATTGTCTGTAGCAGGAGCTCAAACCCTGGTGTCTAGAAGCAGCAGGGATGCTAGAGTTACAACAGGAGAGGCATGCGGCGTGTTGCTTACTTAAAGCCCCATCCAGTCCCCCCCAGCACTATGGCAGCCACAAGGATGGCTCCAGCGATGGAGCCAATTATTAGATTGGTGGCACTAGGACCTGTGAAGGATTATGGGGAAAAAGACAGTTTCTGTATCTGCAACATGTAACTACACAAAAAGGATTTCACATGGCATAAAAAACACACCAAGAGTGATATTACAGAAAAATGATTGAATCTGAGGATGTATTTTGCATGCTTTTCAACCCCCTTTAGTGTGTAACGTAGTTTAAATGTACAAGTGCATCTCAATGAATTAGAATACAATGAAAGAGTAAACAAATTTGAGTAATTCAATTCAAAAACATTGGAACTTAAACTTTCTCACACAGCGATTTAACTTAATGTTGTTAGTTTGTATAATTATGGTTTGCAATACCTATGGTTTGCCTCCCCCCACCCCCCAAAACACAGGAAAAGTCTCAGAAATTTTGAATGTAACATAATCTCAATACAGAAATTATATTTTCTAGTTTTAGTTTAGCTACACAGTCCTGATGAAGATGACTGACTTGAGAATTCTCCGGCACACAGGCACTAACAACCTTGTCAACTGTAAAGCTAAGCAGCAAACATCCCTTTCAAAGCAGCTGGGCAGTCTTGTATCTAAAGATAGTAGTGGAAAGTTTAGTGGAAGGACAAACTGTGGTTAAATATTATTATGACTATGGTTGTATCCTATCAGGACAAGGACAGTTGAGATTATGGAAAACATGTAAAGAAAAGAAGTGAACCAGCAACAGGAATTGGCATAAGATGACTCTAGAGTTGTTGGGGATATGGAATGCAGGGACTGCTGAGGTAGTCATTGTTTAAAGAGCTAAAACACAAACGTGTTATTCTACTTCTTAACTAAGGATGCCAGATATGAAGAAAAGGGAATTTGAACAACTAAATATCAGCTCAAATCTTCAGTAAGTGGTCCAACGGTAAGGGACATATTTTACACTTTATTTTGAAATTAAGTTCACAAAGTCTGGGTGAAGGTTGGGAAGGCAAAGAATCTGGGTGATTTGATGTCCAGTCCAAAGATATTACAGTTATAGTATGAAAGCACATCCTGAGGTGTTGGTCCAGTCCAAAGCCAGTACAACCATATGCCAAGAAATTCTGAAGTATTTCATGTGTCCTCTAAAAAGCTTAAAGAAGATGCTTACTGGGACCTTTCAAAAATAACAAACGCATAAGTATTGCTGTGCCAAATATGCAGAAGACCAGCTAGACTTAAACTTCACAGGGCTAAGCCTAAGGAGGCCTTTTCAAGGGGAAGTGATGAAGATGAGCTGACGGACGCCGTTAGAGCTCCTTAAAATCAGAAGAACCATAGCCTGATCATCTCCATAACGGGCTTCTGTTGCTCATTCAAAAAAAGCCCCAGCAGGTAGTGAGCCACTATATTATTTTTTAGTAATCCAAGTAAAAGTAAAATTTTCAATTTGCTTTGGAAACATCCTAAATTTCTGAGAAAAGAAATGTTTGCTTTTTCATTTGCTGTTATGATCAGTTTAACTTTGAATTTCGTCAAAATTTAGTATTTTCTTTCTTTTACTTTTAATCACTTATTAATTATTTTTATATATCTGTGTTCCTTTATTTTCTTTTTTGTGGCTTCCACATGTTTGGTTAGTAATCCTCATGTTCATTTTGATTCTTGTCATGTTAATAAATCCCCATCCATTATTCTGTCCACCTCCTTGACCCGAACCCACCTTCTGAACTGAATTACTTAAATACGGAAACTTTTTATTCATATTTTAATTCGAGATGCACCAGTAATCGAAGCAACATCCTGGATATGTTGACATTTATTTGCTTTCGTTAGAGGTGATAATTATCTTTTTTTTGTCTGTTAAGGATGTGAAGAAGACTTGACCCTGCGTATCCATCACTGAAAAAAGACTGACAGCTGATAAATCAAACTATATGTGACCTGCAGTATCAGCAGCACAAAAAATTTAAGGGGTCCCAGTCACCACACAGCCTCCACTAACTGGACAATTTCATCTAAATGCCCCACATGCCCCAGAAAGGAGAGGATCACAGGAGCAACCACATAACGACTGAGAGTAAAAGAGAGAGGCTCGATGAGAAGAGAGGGGGGGGATGAAGAGAGAGGTTTGTCATAATGGGGGGACAACGGGAGAGAAGGAGGAGGAGCATAAGGGGAATCCATTGATCAATCACACAACACTGAAAACAATCAATCACATGACAACTAATATGGTCATCACCAACACACGAGGAAACACAAAGCCACCGGGACGCACACACGGGCTCAGGCCGGCTCACGAGACCGCCCGCACACTGAGGCACCACTATGAGGAGGAAGAGCTGTGAAAGGGTTAAAGATGCTTACTCTATTCCCCACCCTGTGCCTCCAAAAATCACCCCCAGGGCCAGAATGGTCCCTGCTACAGCCCCTATCAGCCTGTTAGTGGCCACGCTCACTGTGCAGAAGGAAAAGGAGCATTATTACCACCCTGTTAAAAACAGAACGCAACCTTCTGCTGCAGAGGCATGGATGAAGCATTTCCCATCCTTCACAGTTTGGTCACAGCAGCCGGTATGCGGCTGAAATTTGAGTCGGGATTTCTGTTCAGAATCAAAGCAAACAGCTCTAGCTCTATGTTACCATTTTGGATTAACTTAGAGTTTACACAAGAAGCTTTTACAACCCTAATACATCTGTAATCCCTTTGAATAACCTCACATCTGAATAAAAATCCACATTTTGCATTATATCATATGAAATGAGTAAGTTCCGTCCATAGTAAAATAAACCAGCTGAAACCAGACATTAATATCAGATAAAAGGTAACATGATACGGCATCACATGAGCGTAATGTTACAATTATGATAATTACCAAAGTTATTTCTATTTTCTGAATGCCCCAAAAAAAATTTATATTGTTTTATTTTTTCAAATTCAATTGATTGAAATCTGCTGTGGAGCAGATGAACAAAGCCTGCTCTGATCTGTCAATTCCTCAGACTTACACAACTTTTATTGCTACAGGGGAGCTCAAGTCCAGTCTCAAGTCTCAGGGGCTACCTGAGACTTGAGACCTTTAGATGCATCTAAAGGCTAAACCCCCTTATTTAGCTCATCAAAAACATGGTAACAACCCAGGTGTGTTAAAAAAGAGGTGCATGAAAAAGTTGCAGGATAGTAGCTTAAAGGAATAGTACACCCAAAACATGATTAGCCTTCATTTTCTACTCACCCCCATGCTGAACAACACTCTGGAGTACTTTTTTGATATCTCAAATGCATCTGGAGATCTGGGAGGCTTCTTGCTGTCTGCTGACATTCAAATAATGGAGGTCTATGGTGCCCGAGACAGAAAGGTCCATAAAAGTCCACAAAAAACGTGTCAATATTCCTCCATACTGCTCGTCCAATGTATTCCAAGTGTCCTGAGTGGGTAGCGTCCATAATTTACTCGAAACGAAGTCATTTAGAATGTTTTTAGAGCATAAACAGTAGTGTATAGGATTTCCTAAAAGCGCGTTCACGAGTCTACGGAAACCGCGGCAGACCAAACCAGCGCATTCAGCTCGGCAAAGAACTCATGCTCTTCCTCAACACTGAAGTCCTCAGACATTTTTCTTTCGTTGTTTCTTTCTTTGCACAGGTAAACAGCACATTTCTTCTTCTAAGCTTGCATAATCGGCAGAGCAGACGCTGAATGCGCACTTATCTGGTTTGGTCTGCCGCGGTTTCCGTAGACTCGTGAACGCGCTTTTAGGAAATCCTATACACTACTGTTTATGCTCTAAAAACATTCTAAATGACTTCGTTTCAAGTAAATTATGGACGCTACCCACTCAGGACACTTGGAATACATTGGACGAGCAGTATGGAGGAATATTGACACGTTTTTTGTGGACTTTTATGGACCTTTCTGCCTCGGGCACCATAGACCTCCATTATTTGAATGTCAGCAGACAGCAAGAAGCCTCCCAGATCTCCAGATGCATTTGAGATATCAAAAAAGTACTCCAGAGTGTTGTTCAGCATGGGGGTGAGTAGAAAATGAAGGCTAATCATGTTTTGGGTGTACTATTCCTTTAAGAACTGGACTTGAGCACCCCTGCTCTAGAACCTCTGGAGATGATTTTACAAAGAAGAATTTAATGTCAAATTAACACTATGGGCACATGTCTTCAGTCAGAGGTTTCTCCAGATCTGTTGTAAAACAGACTGCAACAGAAGATCCTTCCTGCCTTCAACCAAAAACACCTACATCAGCTTGATAAAGAAGCCCCTATATGAATTTATTTTGAGGTTAATGAAGTATTTGTGAATTGAATTTTAATGTTACTGCTGAGTAACCTTTCAGCCCATGTTGGTACAGGACTGATTTTACTACGGATAATAACACTCCTCCCTAACAGTAGGATGGATGGACGTCCCACCGTCTTTTTACTTTATATCATAAATGAATGTGGCACCATCAGGTATCTTGAAGTTTTCCCCAAAGGATGAACCAGACTTACTGAGCTCCATAATTCTCTCCATGATACCCTGCCTGTTTTCTTTTGATGTTAGAAGATCACAAAGTTATAAAACCACCATCTGAACCAAAATATTTAAAAGCATGGCAGTCTCGCTGGATTTCAATTTCTGAATTATATGACGGTATTAAAGATTCTCAACGACCTACTTCTTTATATTATCAAGGCATTAAGCAAATAGAAATAACTTTGGTCGTTTCATAAGGCACTTCTAAATATCTGGTTTCATCTGAATTCACTGAATTAATTTTATATTTTCTTATTTTTAGACAGCAGAGGCTGACAGCAGTAGAAACCGACCCTTGGGTTCTTCGGTTGGGGTGATGTCAGGCTCTTTGGGTGGGTCAGGCATGCTGCAGTCTGTCCCCGCCCACGTAGCGTAACATGTGCATGTGGCTTCATTGTTGCACACCTGTAGGGACCAGACAGGAACAAATGAGGCAATAGGAGAGAAAGCAGGTGCTTAAAAAAAACTGCTTATACAGCAGGTCTATTTTGGGAGACATCTTGCTTGGGGAGTTTACATAACAGCCATTTATTTTGTACAATATCAAGAACATGCTCCTCAGGTGCGACATACAGTTTCTTTTACACATATAGGGCATTCTGTATTAATGTGATTTTTTTAAAAACGAATCAAATTAGTACAATTAGCAGACACAAAAGTAGAAATGTAAAGGTGACATCAATCTATGATTTTTAGAGCTAACATTTAATATAATCTAGCATATCTTTTAGTTATCAGGCTCCCCTCCTCTGGAACCAACTACCGGATTTAGTCCATGAGGCGGACACCCTGTCTAATTTTAAGGGTAGGCTTAAAACTTTGCTTTTTGATAAATATAATCTAGTTAGAAATTGGCTCTGAGCTATCGCTGTAGTTATGCTGCTACAGGCTTAGACTGCTGGAGGACATAGGGACCCTTATTTATCATTCTGCTCCATTCTACCTCTATTCTCCCATTCTGGAGAATTTGTTAGTTCAATCTTTAACGTTATGTTCTCTCTGCTATTTCTCATAGTTGCTTCATCTGTTTGTGGATTTTGGAGCTTGGCCTGTTTTTCAGTGTAGTCTCGTTTCTCTGACTGTGACTGGCTGAGTGTGCTCTCTTTCATCCTCTGTCATGGGAGCTGGCTCAGAGCTCATCTGCCTGGCTGTGTCTTTCCTGGACGGGGCTGTGTGGAGATGGCTGACAGTTACATTTGTATCTCTGCTTCTTTTCCTATGTCTGCTTTTGTCTCCTCGAACCCTAGCCAGCCTCGGCAGATAGCCACCCACACTGAGCCTGGTTCTACTGGAGGTTTCTTCCTGTTTAAAGGTAGTTTTTCCTCTCTACTGTCGCTACAATCATGCTTGGTGGGAGGGATTGCCTTTGAGTCAATGAGTCGATGCAATCAACTGGTTTTCCTTAGATAGAAAACTTTGAATCAGTTTGACTGGATGATCTGATTGAATTGTCTCTGTAAAGTGTCTTGAGATGACGTGTTGTGAATTGGAGCTATATAAATAAACTGAATTGAATAGAATAGCATAGGAGAATAGAATTGTAATTGGAGAATATTTTTTTGTTTTATTTCATGACAGGTGCATCATTTTTTTTTTAAATTCTGTGATCTAAGTGGATTTCTGTCTTTTTCACTACAATTGATAAATGCATATAGATCTATGTTTGATGGTTTTGTGTTAGGGTTAGGGTTTGTAAAATGAGAGTTTTATTTTTTTGTTTCTTGTATTTAGCCTATATCACATAGCTTACAAAAAGCATGTTCTAATAATCCCAGTCTTTCATGGTTGGTTTGAAAATCAACCTTGATATTTTCTGTCATATGATTTGCATGACCTTCGTATTTGTTTATGTCCTTCTGAGAAACAAGAGAAGGTGACCAACTGTCAGCTGACTGCATAAAGGATTATTAAATCTTTTTCATATTAGATAAAAACAAGATTAATTATTTCAGGTGAAAAAAAAAAGACAAAAATGATGTTCTTGAAAAAAGGCAATCAGATAATGTAAAAGATTCCATTCCATCCATTTTCCTTCACGCTTATCCCAAGGAGGGTCACAAGGGTTGCTGGTTCCTATCTCCAGCTGTCTATGGCCAGACCCTACACCCTAGACAGGGCAACACAGAGACAAACAGGACAAACAACCATTCACACACTCACTCACACCCAAGGAGAATTTAGAGAAGCCAATTAAGGTTTCAAACCCGCAACCTTTTTGCTGCAAGGCACCAGTGCTACCCATCGCGACCCTGAGCAGCCCTATGTAAAAGATTGTGACTTTAACATCATTATACCAAAATATTGTTTTACCATAAAAATCTGATGCTACTGTTCCAATGTTATTTTTATTAAACCAACCCAGGTTTCCAGACTTTGGCTCTATCTCCCTGACTTTTTTAAATTACTGACAGATTAGCAGTAAGTTTCTGCTGTAGGTCGCATGTGATATTGTAGGGATATTGATGTATTTTTTAGCAGAGTTGAGAATTTCTCTTGGACGGACAGCCCAGGATGTTTTTGCAGTTGCTTTTAATTTCCTCCACCTGCAGACTATGTTCTGCAGAGTGGAACAGAAAGTCATTCCAAGGCCTCTTAAAACCCCCAAATGTCTGAGGTTTGAAAAAAGCAAATCTTGTTCAAAATGCTGACAAATGATGCTTTCACCACCACCACAAACATGACATACCTGTGTGTGAGTGTGAATATGCATGGGAGGATGTCATCATTTTTTTTACCCGATTTACAGGTGCTGGTCATAAAATTAGAATATCATGAAAAAGTAGATTGATTTCAGTAATTCCATTTAAAAAGTGAAACTTGTATATTATATTCATACATTACATACAAACTCATATATTTCAGATGTTTATTTTGTTTAATTTTGATGATTACAAATGACAACAAATGAAAATCTCAAATTCATCATATCAGAAAATTAGAATATTACTGAAGACCAATAAAAACAAAGGATTTATAGAAATGTTGGCCAACTGAAAAGTATGAACATGAAAAGTATGAGCATGTACAGCACTCAGTATTTAGTTGGGCCTCCTTTGGCCTGTATTACTGCAGCAATGCGGCGTGGCATGGAGTCGATCAGTCTGTGGCACTGCTCAGGTGTTATGATAGCCCAGGTTGCTCTAATAGTGGCTTTTAGCTCTTCTGAATTGTTGGGTCTGGTGTATTGCATCTTCTTCTTCACAATACCCCATAGATTTTCTATGGGGTTAAGGTCAGGAGAGTTTGCTGGCCAATTAAGAACAGGGATACCATGGTCCTTCAACCAGGTACTGGTAGCTTTGGCACTGTGTGCAGGTGCCAAGTCCTGTTGGAAAATGAAATCTGCATCTCCAAAAAGTTGGTCAGCTGCAGGAAGCATGAAGTGCTCTAAAACTTCCTGGTATGTGGCTGCGTTGACCCTGGACCTCAGAAAACACAATGGACCAACACCAGCAGATGACATGGCACCCCAAACCATCACTGACTGTGGAAACTTTACACTGGACTTCAAGCAACGTGGATGAAGTGCCTCTCTTCTTTTCCTCCAGACTCTGGGACCTTGATTTCCAAAGGAAATGCAAAATTTACTTTCATCAGAGAACATGACTTTGGACCACTCACCAGCAGTCCAGTCCTGTTTCTCTTTAGCCCAGGCAAGACGCTTCTGACGCTGTCTGTGGTTCAAGAGTGGCTTGACACAAGGAATGCGACAGCAGAAACCCATGTCTTTCATACGTCTGTGTGTGGTGGTTCTTGAAGCACTCACTCCAGCTGCAGTCCACTCTTTGTGAATCTCCCCCACATTTTTGAATGGGTTTTGTTTCACAATCCTCTCCAGGGTGCGGTTATCTCTCTTGCTTGTACACTTTTTTCGACCACATCTTTTCCTTCCCTTCGCCTCTCTATTAATGTGCTTGGACACTGAGCTCTGTGAACAGCCAGCCTCTTTAGCGATGACCTTTTGTGTCTTGCCCTCCTTGTGCAAGGTGTCGATGGTCGTCTTTTGGACAACTGTCAAGTCAGCAGTCTTCCCCATGATTGTGTAGCCTATAGAACTAGACTGAAAGACCATTTAAAGGCTTTTGCAGGTGGTTTGAGTTAATTAGCTGATTAGAGTGTGGCACCAGGGGCCATCAATTTTGAACCTTTTCACAATATTCTAATTTTCTGATATGATGAATTTGAGATTTTCATTTGTTGTCATTTGTAATCATCAAAATTAAACAAAATAAACATCTGAAATATATGAGTTTGTATGTAATGTATGAATATAATATACAAGTTTCACTTTTTAAATGGAATTACTGAAATCAATCTACTTTTTCATGATATTCTAGTCTTTTTGTAGTCTTTTTTAAAGAAATTTTGTTCAGCTTTTGTTGGTTATATATTAATTCCTAACATCCACATGATTGTATACTGATGATTTCAACATTTCATTACAGTCACCAATGTCATCTTCACCTCAACCAATTTAATTATCATTAACCAAACTGAAAAAAAAAAACATTTTCATGGCCTGAAATAAAAAAATAGACCTTCCGAGAAAATGAAAAGTAACTGTAATAAGAGTTTATAGAGCTGATTAAAACCAAGTGAATTTTAGGAAAGAATGCGTTTGGTTTTCCTTCTTTTTTTTATATAATTCAGTAATATGAGGTCTGGTTTCCAGGTGCTGTTTTCGCTTTTTTTTTTTTCCGTGGAGCATTACGGCAGCAGATGGCTGGCACAGCAGTCAGGTCATTTGTGTTGCTGCAGGGATCTGTCCTTATATGGATTTCATTGCAGTTTTATTTTTTTTCGTAGTCTTGCCCCCGGTATGTAAAATATATGACATAAAAGACTAAAACTATAACTGAAACTACAAAAAAGAAAAGCAAAAACTAAACTACAAAAAACTAGATACTATTTACAATAATTTAAAACTGAAATAGATACAAAACTCATTTTCAAAAACAAAATTCAAACCTCAACCTGTTACGGCCCCTGGCCTTTTAAGACTGTGCAGGCCTTTTCTTGTGCAGGTTCAGCTCTGACAGAACTCCCTTGGTGGCTGCCTGAGGACTGCAGTGTCATGATTGGAGCAGCAGAAGAGTGTCAAGCCAATCAGTGTGCTGATGAGGCCCACCTGCACCTTATAAAAGGCTCCTGAAAAGCTTTCAGTTTGGGGACAGCTATTAGGAGGGTTTTGTTAAGCTGTTCCCCCATCTTGTTTTGCATCTGTTTTTGGGATGAAAGAGCTCTTTGCCCTGGCTTTGTATGCACTTTGCTTAGTCTGCTTTAGGTGGCCTTGTTCAAGCTAGTTGCTTGTGTTTGGGAGGTTTGGTGCTCCCTTTGTCTTTTCATTTGGTTTGTTTTTTGTGTTAAAACTTAGTCTGACTGTTTTTGGGCAGTTTGTAATTTTA